GGTATGTACGAGTCACTCTAAACCTATAAGGATCCTCAATGAGTGTCATCCACCAACAAGCATACAGAAAAATTTACCCCACGCCCAGGTGGAATAAAGAGGCGTAACAACGCTGAAAAAATACCAATGACATTTGTGTTTACTTTACCATCGACCAATGAAATTTCACGAACTAGAGTGTGACGCTCGTGCGTCGAGTCCGCGCGGACTCGGGGAAGTCCCGACCTTTATTATGCTTTATATACGGATATACCGTCGATGCCTTCCAGTCCCAGAGAGAGTATACGAGCCCAAAGTCTTCGGTCTTCGGGGTAGTAGCGGCAAAGAAGAGAGGAGAAAAAAATATGTTGAGGGGGAAAAAAAATTGCATAGATCGAACGTTTCCGTGACACGAACTTCAAGCCAACAAACCGGTATACCGAGCATCACCGAACATTCACGACGCATCGACGCATCCCCCTCTCAACTTCTTTTCAACTAATTAATACAACCGCATACAAGATAGTAAACGCTCTCGTTTTTCAATCAAATCCAGGATTCGCGGGGTGGTTCGTGATATTTGTAGTCGTACGATGGTTTAATGTCTTGGGGGGAATTTTTTATTGAATAGAGTCGTGGAGGGTCGATGCATTTTTGACAGCGCAGGAATTTTCCGTTTTGTAAAGCATTCTTTTTTTGGTGGTTGCAGGGATGAAAACGTGTTTTCGTTCGTTTTTTGGAGTAATCGAAAAATTTAATGGAGTAGTTAGTACGAAAAATTACAACTAATGAATACGAGAGAACGATATTTTTCCATTTTGCGTGGAATTATTCATTGAATAAAGTTATGAAAAATCGAGTTGTACGGATTTTGAAAAAAAAAACATCTTCATTGTGTCAGAATGGAGAATTTTCATTTTTTTTAACTCATTCATTTTTAATTACTAGAAATCATAAAGTACGTATCCAATATTTTTCATTCAATTTTCATCTTCGGGAATAAAAAATTTTTTTATGAATTTAATGAGAGAAGAGATGAAAGGTCATATTATTCCACCGAATTAATTCAAGAGATTTACAATTTTTTCCTGGGATGATATTCGTATTTTCATATTTTTCGATTTAGCATAGAATTATTCATTAAATAAAACCATTAAAAATCGAAAAGTTTCAGTTAATTTCAGAAACATTTATAATTCATTGATCTGTAATTACTTATCAAAATGATAAAATACGTGTCCAATATTTTTCATTCAATTATCATATTCAAGAATTTTTATTTTATATGAATTTCTTGCATATGCCTGAGTAAATGTCGGCAGAAAATAGACTGATAGAAGAGGTCCTTTCATATTATTCCACTGAATTATTAATACAAGAGATCTACATTTTTTCCATGATAGAAAAAATTAGTTCTGCCGAAAAATTACATGTTCCCCTGAGAACTTTTCTCGTATTGAGCCAATTTACTTGTGGACAAAAAAGAAAGTTTCCACCAAAACGAGATAATTATCAACAGTTCGAATTCTTCGACGTATATTTCTGATGATCACGACAAAAATTCAATTTTTGTGAAAGATATTAAATTTCCTCCTCTCAATTTGGTTAACTCCCTCAAGTAAATCTGTTCCACTCCATCAAATTTCTCAGTGTACCCCACGCAATGCAGAATTTTTCACCCTTTATAACTCGTTCATTTTCAATTACTTCTGGAAATAATAAAATACGTGTCCAATACTGTTCCTTCAATTTCCACATTCCCGAGTGAAAAAATTAAACGAATTGTCGTTTATATGAATTCCCCGCATATGCGTGAATGAATGTTGGTGGAAAATAGACCGAGAGAAGAGGTCCTTTCATGAAAGTACATTTCACATATCCGCGAATGAGTTAACACGACGTCAAGGTGCCAATTATCATTCTATCATCCGTGCAAGCTTCTGCCTGTGTGAATCTTCCCAGAATTCACTTGACACTATGAAACAAGCCTTTTTCACAACAGTTGGCCTGTCTCTACTATTCTGTTAACCATAAGTTATATATGTGTACCCAACTTTCAGCCAAGTTGACAAACGGTTCCGCTAATAGACCACCACACGTAACTTCCCGTCAAATATAAACGTGCGCTAAGCTACATGGGAAAATTGAGGACGCTCTGATATCTATACATACATCGATGATTTTACGGGTTAGTATGTATGTAGCGTTTATCACTGCGCTGGCCCGAGTGGTGTGTCTCGCCAGTTCGACGCCAATTTTGACCACTGCTATAATAATAATTGCTGGTTGACGAATTATTTGTTCTGGCATGATGCCCATTTGCTTCGAAAATCGGGTTTTATTGGCAGTACGTTTAGGAAGGTCTTTCCGCTATATTGAAATCAATGAAACGGTTTATCCTTCATCGTTTCAGCACTGTTGATTGGACTGTATCGGGTATTATTAGGGATGGGCGACGCCAATAAAAAACATCGATGTTGTGAATCAATTTTTCAGGAAAAAACATCGTTTATTTGAAAAGTCGATGTTTATCTCATTACACAGGCGAAAAAATTAATTCTTTAAATAATTTTTTTCTTCTCGTCTTTATTGAAAAATTTATATTTAAAAAATACAATCCGAATAACTTGCGTTTTGGTGATGAGTACTGCTAGAGAGTTGAATCTTGAATCTTGAAACAGGGTTTTTGATTAATTAAAAAAAATATATTTAATATTTTCCGTTAGCTGCAATAATTGTTAAAAATTTAAATTTACAAAAACAATAGATGACTGAACTTGTTCACTTATCATTTTTAACATACATACTGTAGAAAATAATTATTTCTGATTGCGCATAAATTATTACTTTGTTTATTCTCAATCAATAAACATTATTATTCGACAAAAAAATGAAAAATTTTGAAACATCGATGTTGGGGCATGAAAAATCGATGTTTTCGATTAATCGACAAAAATCGATCATTCGTATTATTATTAGGGATAGGAACCTACAGTGACGGAGGAATGAAAAAAGTTCTCAAAAAAGACTTGTTTGGACCAAAAAATTGCGAATCAAAAATTACAAAAAATAATTTTGTTTTTGATTCGAACACGAGACGGTGCCCCTTCTGGATGAAAATTCGAATATCTATTGCTGTGTATTTGTTCTTCTCGTCCCTAATAACCACCTTCATGTACCATCGTCTCCTTCTTTCTTGTTATTCTTTTGTATTTGTTGTTCCTCCGTGGACGTGTCATTTCTTTTGTATCTTGCCATCATTTATATTGCCCCAAATTCTTTTAAAAAAGTAATTCATTATTAAATGACTTATGATGATTTGCTAATTCATTTGTGTCTTTTTATCGTTTATTTCGCCCCGAATTCCTTTAATAAAGTCATTTTTTATTAAATGGGCCCATTCTTTACGCTATTATATCAATGAGGAACGTTTCGTGAAGCTGTTTTATATCGAATTATATCGAACCCGCCCGACCATTGACCCTCAATTCTGATTGGTCAATGAGTCGCGTGAAATCAGTCGCTAAAAAAACACGCGGTATTTTCAAGTGCTTCAAACTCACAAATTAGTTTTTGTGTCATAATTGTAAATTTTTTCGTGTTTATCATGCACGAAATTGATGAATTCTTTCTTCTTGGATTGTCATTCATCATGTGTTTTCGTGAATCTCATTAATTTCAATTCCTTCAATTTTTCTTTTTTCGCGAATGATGTAAATTTGATTCTGTTCCATGTTTTGACTAGCATTTCTATAGGATTTTCGTATATGATATTCGGATATTTCTATACGGATATTTTTATACAAATTATTTCTGTACGATTTCTATAGGTTTGATCCTATACGACCCACTGCCAGAGCTATAGAAACATTTCGTATGGAGTTGCGACATTTCTCTACGTTTTTCTCTGGAGGGTTTAGACATCTTTCGTATGAAAACAAAAATTTATGTAAAAATTTATGAATAGAAATAATTCATATAAAAAATATCCGTATAGAAATATCCGAATATCATATACGGTAATCTATAGAATTTCTATACGCAATCCGTATAGCAAATTTCTATACGATTTTTTCATACGTGCGTTACCTGCAAATACAGTTCTATGGCTCTCCTGTAAAATCACGATTTATCGACTTATCACCCTTTACCGCTTCGCTACTGAATTGAAAATTCAGTATAATTTGGTACTGAATATCCACATTTCTATTTATAATTCAAGTAAGTTGCGGAATTGTTGTCCATCGTTTGCTCAAAAATTTGGAATTTCCTTTTGGAAAAAAATTGCAAATTCTGAAATATCAGTGGAAAATGTGAAACTGAGCTCTATTAAAACAATATGTTGTTATAAGAACATTTTCACATGGCCATCAAGTTCCCCATATTAATGAACGTATAATGCATTCAGAACTGATGAAAGAACCAGAATAAAAAGAAAGCAAATGGAATAATGGAGATGAAGATTAGCAGAATGGAAGAGTAAGGGAGTGGAAGAAAATTGCAGGTGCCTATGAGCGATGCCCTATTAGAGTTAACTCCGGTAATGGAAATATTATTTTCATTTTTTTTCCCCCTCTCATTTGCTCGCCCTCAAGCTGACCGCGTTCGGCTCCCACAAATTACTCGCTTCCACCCTCAATTGCTCTTTTTTCGTTGAGGGAACGGGCGAAAAAATTTCAATGCCTTTTTTGTCCTGATTTTTCCTACTCTGCTGAATATTGATGAATATTCCTAAATTGTGAGGTCCGCCTTATAAAACAAGTTGAAAAAATTATTCTCAGGGTAAACAATTGATTGTTTATAAATTATTTATGAAAAAAGATTTTTCTTATCTACCAACAAATTGTTAAACATTTCTGGCTGAAATATCCATTACATTATAGTTTCACTGAAATTTCAAGCAATTTCATCTTCGAAAATTACAATATTGGAAGCAACAAATGAATTAAAACTCCCGAGTCTTTCAACACATTATTATAAAAAAATTAAGAAGGATTAGGAAATAAAACAGACACCTCAAGCACCGTTACATTAATTTAATTCACACGTCTTACGCGTGGGATATTGAACTTCCTCAAAATACAATAGGTATGACAGAAAGAATAGTTATTAAATTATCAATTTTGATGTAATAAAGTTTTTCATTACAAGAATATTAAATATGCGAATGTCCTATTGTTTATCATGTCTATCATGATCGCTAAAGAACCTCGTAGCATTTGGAAATCTGAGTGGATCTGGAAAGTCAGGACTTTGATATCTGTTTGGATGAAGGCATTCCCTGATAGCCTCTCCAAATGCACGTCTGGCAGTTGAATCAGATGCAACAGCAGCAGCTGCCCCATCAACTTCCTCGACTCCAGCACGCCCAACACTCTCCCTGATCAGACGCTCCATGGAAGCTGGTATTGCTGAACTATTAGACGTAGGACTCGCCAAAAGCGTTGGCTTCTGCTGCTCCACCAATTTCCTTCGTTTGCTTGGCATTGTCGCCAAGTATGCATCGCTCAGTGTCGTAACACTACCTCCAGATAGGCCAAGCTGCAGCTGCCTCCTCTGTCTAGCTCCATCGCGTGCTATTATTGGAACCCAATCAGGCAGAAGATTTTCGTGACCTGGGAATGTCGTTGAAACCTCCTCATTCTCATCCAGCATCAGTGGATCTGGCCCTGAATCAGTCTCCATTGGCTCTGGTACTGATTGAGCCGTTGATTGGGGTGCTGGGGCCGATGACACGGTCGATGTTGCCTGGCTTGCTGCTGGCCATGCCTGAGATGGCCTCGAGTTTGTTTGGGGCTGATCCTTGTAGCACAAAAATTTCGTTATTTCCTCCGTCGGGGGAGATTGCACTGTTCGAGCATAACGACAAACCCATGTCAAAACTGTTTCCATAATCCACTCACGGAACAGTGGGGGCATGCCCTGTGTCATTTGATTCTGAAATCATAATTTAGTCCGTTTCATTCATTTGTCGTTAATAGTTATTCATTCTATTTATTTACTGGCCATATTCATGACATATATTCGTAGATTTTCATTGACATGAGGTATTCGGGGAATTTATAGGGAATCAAATGGTCAGGGATGAAACACAAACCATCAGAATGATTTAATGATGATGAATAATAAATTGGAGAGGCTTTTACAAGGGGAGAAGATTACAAGCATTGTAATCGTCCAATTTTCATATTCTCTAATTTTGATTGAAAATGATGTAGAATAGTCTGAAACGTAAATATATCTAAATGTAAAAATAAGTTTGGCGATCATGGCAATTTTTGCCAAATTGAGTAATTAAGTGGCTAAAATAATTCCAAAAAATCTGAAATTTTGGCAGATTATAGGACTTAATGAGAACTAACGCTGCGCAAAATTTTAATCCGATCGATGTAATAGTTTTTGAGAAAAAGCCATTCGTTTTTAAATTGTTTTCCGCAAATATCTTTAAAACTACTGGACCAATTTCGATTATTTCATTTTCAAAATATTCAGTTCGATGCCTTCTACCTAAATCAATCAAAACATATATACCCGTCCATACAAAGTTTTCGAGAAACTCCCGTTTTTGTTTTTTTATAAAAAAAAAACTTTGTGCGAAACTCGAGATATCAACTTTTCTTTTTCAGATCGAACCGCTTGGTAGGAGATATTGACAATGGAAGATGGAAATGTGTAAAAAAAATTTAACATACAGCAAATCGAATTGCGCATCTCTCAAATACATTCGGGCCAATTAGAGGTAGGGGTCCCACAAATTCATTAACACCACTGCTCAAAGTCAGACGACAGACTCCAATCAGATTACTAGCCAGTGCTTTTATGGGTTCGATGACAGCCTCAACGAATGCTGTACTCGTATCTGCAATGTGAAAGAGTAGTACTTATTTCTCAGGATATAAAATTGAAGGGGTGCAATAAATATACAAATGATACACAATTTTTTGTCTGTTGGGAATATCTTCAAAAAAATAAGGAATGCTTCTTGATTATTTGCATTCACTTTCCTCTTTCAAACTACTATCTTCTCGCAATTTAAAACATTCTTGTATGTCAACGTAAAAGTCATATTCAAACATAAACAAACTTCTAAAGCTTGAAAAAATTCTGTTGATAGGGAAGTTGCTGAAAAATGCAGTTGATCGAGAAAATCACGACAGCACTGTCGAAAAAATATTGTCCAAAATTTCCAGTACATTTCTTGACAATTTTCACTCCATTATAACTTTACTGAAATTTCAAAGAATTTCGTGATTAAAAATTCGAAACTTCATGGAAAAATCAATGGAAACTGCAAATTCCACATCAATTCAGTAGCGAAATAGTCAAACGGTTGAAGTCAATTTAGTCTTTAGTTGAGTTTTCCAGCAATATTTCCCAATTTAAGGGAAATAGCGAAATTTTCATAATAATCTTCATTGTAGAGTGAATTGAGTGCTACTAAAAAATTGTGTTATGAGAAAAAATTTGGTATCTCCATAGATTTCGAGATATTCCTTGAAAAACCGTTTGACCACTTCGCTACTCAATTACTCCCTGAAAATTGATATAAATCAGAAAAATTCAATTGACAATTTAACGTAATTTGATACTGAATATTCACTTTATTTCTTCCCACTAAATCACCTTCAATGTCATTCTCCCGAAAATGACTCCACTGAAACTCTATTATATCTAAAAGAAAATGGATGAAGATATTTACCATAATCAGTGAATATACACCTCACAATTTCCGCCACATGAACGTTCAAAACATTCTCAACAGTCTCCCTTAAAGCGACAGCAGCTCCCCGTTCATCATTGGCTATCCCCCAGTTAAAAGTGTACTCCAGATATCCCCTCAACTCGCGAATAAGCGTCTCAGCAATACGATTAGGTAAATCCCCCTCAGAAACGGAGGTGTTATTCTCTCGAAGAGCAATACGCAGTTTCCTCTGGATGCGGAGACTCAGAGGAGAGTAGTCCCCCTCAACAATTCTATACCAATCTCCAACAGATAATCCCGAAAGTACTCTATATATACTCATGTGAATAGTTCGTTCTGCTAGCCTAGTCGGAGGTAAATCTACAGACAGATAAATCCCCCTACTGGCTAAAACATCGCTGATCGAAGTACCTAGCGTGGGTCTCACATTGGCCATGCTCTCAGCCAAAGTGGGAGCACTGGAGTTGACGAGCTGTACCCCAGTTATCGTGGCAAATCTGGGCCCACGAATACCCCCAAGTGTTCCACCAGCTTGATTCTGCACAGGAGGATCTCCACCAGCCCCACCAGTCTGTGTCGATGCAGCTGTACTGGTCTGAGCAGGCTGACGACGCACGTGCTGAGATGTGCAGGGCAAAAATGGATCGAAGTCAATGCTGTCAGCAACATCCAGACCAACGCCAAGTGCCTGTGCATGCTGAAGCACATGAGTCCTCGACGTAGTTCTTGTCTGAGTCGAAGTTGTTGGATGAGTGTCTGTATTTCCCCTCGGCTGTGAGCTCGCTGATTCACCAGCAACTGTCCTCGGACGATGACGAAGACATCCAACTGTTGGAGTTGCTGATGTAGCTGTGGATGATGTTGTTGATGGAGCCCCTGTCGATGGAGCAGGCATTGGCACCCTTGTCTCTGCCATGTAGCCTGCCACTGCCTGCATCAGGTGTCTGATTATGTCAGGGGAGGGAGCTCCCCAGGAGAATCCAGCACTCGTGCCAGCGGCATTCGAAGTGTTGTTGTTATTTGCATTTGTGGTATTGTTGTTGTTTGTGTTGTTATTGTTGTTGTTGTTGGCCCCTTGGGGCTGAGGCTCAGAGGAGAAGCTCCAGACTCGTGGAGCTTGTGGACTCATTTCCATGACAACTTCGACGTTGTTGGGGAAATTGAAGACTTGACCGAATGGAGAGTCTGATTGGCCTGAACGCTCTGGATTGGATTGTGGTTGGGATGTCTGGGTTGATGAACCTGTTGCCTCGGTGTTGGCTGATGTTGGTTGGGGGGGCTGGGTGGGGGGTGGGTCGTTATCAGCGCTGTTGTTGTCGGTTTGGCCGTGGAGACTGATGTGGGCCTCGACTTGGATTGGCAAGCCAGCCTGGACAATTGCTGGGGGTCTGATGTTCATGGGACGACAACGCAGGGTTCTGGGGGGCGTCTGCTGCATGTCGATGCTGATGTTGCTGAGGGCGTGCTCGGCGTGAGAGAGAAAGTGAAAACACTCGGAGACACCGTCCATTATGCGCTGATTCTCCTCGGGGGTTGATGATGTTGGGGAGAGGATTCGATCCCTTATGTAGGGCGTTAGGCGATCCCGAGTTGTCAAGAGCTCTCTCACGAGTTCGGAGAGCTGACGAGGCAGTAGGCCTTCGGTTGGGGTGGCTTCTCCACTTGTCGCAGGCTCAGGCTCGTCCTGGACCTGGACCTGGGGATCGGATATCCAAGTCAGCGGGATTTTAGTGGTTTTCGGATGGAATTTCATGGATAACTGAAGTTTGTTTATTTTCGTTGAGAAGTGAAAATGCATAGTTGAAGTAGTAATTACAATTGCCGACTGATTATTGAATAAATAATTGCTTCTTGAGGGGAGTTTACTACCTCAGTTTTAATGGTAAACTGAGAAAAAATTTGGTTTTGATTTTGACATTGAGTGGAACGAGGCTTTACAGGAATGCAATCTTCAAAATTGTAGACATGACGCAATTCTCAAGCGATTGACTCAGATTTTCAGNGTTATTGTTGTTGTTGTTGGCCCCTTGGGGCTGAGGCTCAGAGGAGAAGCTCCAGACTCGTGGAGCTTGTGGACTCATTTCCATGACAACTTCGACGTTGTTGGGGAAATTGAAGACTTGACCGAATGGAGAGTCTGATTGGCCTGAACGCTCTGGATTGGATTGTGGTTGGGATGTCTGGGTTGATGAACCTGTTGCCTCGGTGTTGGCTGATGTTGGTTGGGGGGGCTGGGTGGGGGGTGGGTCGTTATCAGCGCTGTTGTTGTCGGTTTGGCCGTGGAGACTGATGTGGGCCTCGACTTGGATTGGCAAGCCAGCCTGGACAATTGCTGGGGGTCTGATGTTCATGGGACGACAACGCAGGGTTCTGGGGGGCGTCTGCTGCATGTCGATGCTGATGTTGCTGAGGGCGTGCTCGGCGTGAGAGAGAAAGTGAAAACACTCGGAGACACCGTCCATTATGCGCTGATTCTCCTCGGGGGTTGATGATGTTGGGGAGAGGATTCGATCCCTTATGTAGGGCGTTAGGCGATCCCGAGTTGTCAAGAGCTCTCTCACGAGTTCGGAGAGCTGACGAGGCAGTAGGCCTTCGGTTGGGGTGGCTTCTCCACTTGTCGCAGGCTCAGGCTCGTCCTGGACCTGGACCTGGGGATCGGATATCCAAGTCAGCGGGATTTTAGTGGTTTTCGGATGGAATTTCATGGATAACTGAAGTTTGTTTATTTTCGTTGAGAAGTGAAAATGCATAGTTGAAGTAGTAATTACAATTGCCGACTGATTATTGAATAAATAATTGCTTCTTGAGGGGAGTTTACTACCTCAGTTTTAATGGTAAACTGAGAAAAAATTTGGTTTTGATTTTGACATTGAGTGGAACGAGGCTTTACAGGAATGCAATCTTCAAAATTGTAGACATGACGCAATTCTCAAGCGATTGACTCAGATTTTCAGACATGCGTACATAATATGTGCACAAACATAACTGAGTGAGCTTTTTTGACAATATCTGTTTTTGAAATTTTGGATTTTTTTTTCTCTGAAAATGAAGCCATTCATTTCAGAGAAAAAAAAAGTGAAGGAAAAACAGCCAAAGCACTTGGATACCCTTAATTGAAAAATTTCATAATTTCATAATTTTAACGTTTCAAAATTTCACAATTTCAGAATTTAAAAATTTACAAAATTTCCAATGAAAAAGAAAAAATTAAAAAAGTTCAAGTGAACAGAATGTTTGAAGTTTGCAAGTCTTGAAAATAGCAAGTCCACTGTCCGTGGAATTCCATTTTGTTCTACCAGTGTGACTGTTATTGCTAATGTGATAACCTAAATTTACTCAACATGGTTAAATGATTTCAGTAGGGAAGTGGTAAAACGGTACAAGTTAATTTTGACTATTGGCCAGTTTTGAATGAATATCTCGGAATCTAAGGGAGATAGCAAAATTTTTGTTATAACCTTTTTTGTAGAGCCGATTGAGAGCCCCAACAAATATAATCACGAAAATTTCGCTATCTCCCTCAGATTCGGAGATATTCCTCAAAAACTCAACTATAACTATGAGATAAGTCGATTTAAACCGTTTTACCACTCCGCTACTGATTTAATTCGAACACTATGATTATACCGGTGTTGGCTGTGGATCCTCCACTGGCGTCGGGGTGGATTCAGCAGCTGCTCCATCACTTGGGGCAGACGTCTGCGGTGTTGTAGCTTCGTCAGAGGTGTCACTGGCGTTCTCCAGACGATCGATGACTCGATTGGCTTGATCCAGCATGCGACGAACCACTGTCAAGTGGCTGTTGGCGAGGATCCCACTGAATTGGGGAGTTGGCCACTCGGCGTCGTGGCGGTCCAGGACGTCAGCTGGGATTGACACTGATCCCACGTACATGGGGTTTCCATGGAACTGGGTTTGACGGTACTGGATCCTGGGACCTGACTGCCAGGTACCACCCTGGGAACTCTGGCTGTGAGAGTTATTTTGGCCGGCATTGTTGGGCCTCTGGTGGAGGGATGGGGGTAAACGCTGTACCAGGTGGATCACCTTGCCATTCACGTCTTGAATATAATTACAATTTGATCAGTAAACGTGGTATTTTACTCATAATACGGCGGTCCAATTTTTTTTCATATTGAAATCGACATTTAGAAATATTGTCGAAAGATTTGGAGTGCATCTATGATGAAAGGGTCTCTTCGGTGAGCTCTCAAATTAATTGAAAAGTTTTTATAATTTTTTTGCGGTAAAATCACTGAAATAACGGTAAAATTTTCGCAAATATTCCCACTCGTGAAATAATTTTTACGTAATTTTATTGAAAAATTAATGCAAAAAATTGCTGTATAGTTCTTCGTAATTGAACGCGAAATCCTTCAAGATTTCTAGAATCTTCCCGAGTCCTCTGGAACGTTCTGCATCGGAAAATTAGAGTTTTCCAGATGATGGGCCATGTTTCCAGAGGATTCTGCACCGTTCTGGAGATTTCTTGAATTTTTTCGAACCTTCCATGAATTTCCGGAGAAGTGATAGTAAGATTTTACTGCACACCGAGAGAAAAACGAACAAGTGCTCAAATAACTCTTGTTTGAGCCAAAAAATCACAAGTTGACAATTACATTTTCAAGTTTTAGTTCGGATTTCCGGTATAATTCGTGAAAATTTTTATCAAAATTCAGATCAATATATTTTTTGATTGAAAAGTCAAGTGAACTGCGCAATTCGCATTTCTGTGTTGCTCAAAAATGTAAAATTTCATTAAAGTTTCAGTGGAATTTGAAATTTATATTTTTTTCTGACAATACTAGTATTTTTCATTCAATATTCATATCCAGAAATTTGAAAAATTCATGCAAACCTGTCCCGAACATTTGATATTCCACAATCCGTGATAAATCAATTTGTTACACCTCAAGTCCAATTCACCAATCACTCAATCATATCCTTTGAAAGACTTTAGCAATGAGTGCTTCTAAAAATTAGACAAGAAACATTTTTCGTAACTGACTCACTTTCTTACAAAAAAATCTGACAATTCTGTGAAATCCTTCATTGTCTAAAAAATTTGTAGTTTAACATCTGAAGAATCAACTTATAGACTTGACGAATGAATTTCTCCACAAGTAAGTTATGTCAGCACGAAATTGAACATTTCATATCCCTCAACCCCAAGTACATCACAACAAATTCTCATAAACAAGATGTATCGCTTTTAATTTCAATAAAAATATCCCAAGTTAAAATCCTAATTACCGTATTCATTGAGATTTTTCTCATCTTGCAGCACACGGCCACAATAAATCAATCTCTGAAGGTCAGCTGGAATGCTGACAGTCTCTGCTATGTGTTCTTTGAATTGTCTAACTGTGATCTAAAAAACCAAATCGTACAGCTGCATTGGAAATGTCTTAATTACCGAATTAGCGGATGATGAAATTTGACAATTTCTCAGGACATGCAAACAGTTTGTCAATCCCTGAAAACTATTTGGACGCCATAAGAAATTATCTAAAATGACTACCGTCAATGTCCCAATCAGTGTCACTCGGTGATAGTTAAATTATTAATTTCTTTCATAATTCGTCAACTCGACGCACCAAGTGGATAGTTGATACTCTTTTTCATCGTTTGAGATAGTTTTTCCTTCAAACGAATGATTGAATAAATAAATATTTGAAAAATAGACAAAGTCCACCGTGTGCCGTTGATAATAATCATCGAAATGACATAGATTATCTATAAATTGCAAAATGAATCGAAAGCTGTCACTGATTTTCAGGAATCTATCAACAATTATTGCTGATACCAAACATGAAAAAAAATAATAGAAAAACCTGGCGCTTTCTTTAAGAACTTCTATTGGATTTCTATTGGAACTCTATAAGAACTTTCTTGCAGTTTCGTTCGAATTCGATTAAAAAATTGTATTCATTTCTTGCGTCATTTCTACTTGAGAGAAAAAAGTCAATAGGTTTTTATTGTTCTGGAGAAATTGTTGGGCGTAAATTTTCCAAGTTTTTTCCGCTGTTTTTTAAAATATTTTTTCAAATAGTAAAATTCAAGAAAAAAAATTGGGAAAATCTGCATATATGTCCTCCATCATTATAAATATATCATTTAGCTAACATATTATGTTAGCTTGCTTTCAAATACGAATAGCAGAAATGTGGACGTGCGTAATTGTGACGGGGAAGGGAGGGAGGGAGGGATGTGCCCCAGTAAGTGCCACTTTTCGACAGATTGCACTCTTATTTAATTTTGAATATTTGTAGGGTGAACAGGCCAATTGCTGGATAAACGAATGACCTAAATGGAGTTATAATAGCTTGTATATCTTCAGGAATGTTTTAATTAACACAAATAAACTATTTCAAGTGAAAACAACGCAACAAACAATAATTAAATTAAGAAACAGTTGAATGAGGCCGAAATCCCTAATTTCTGGACGACTGGGCCATATTTTTTTCAATTTATTAAATGTCGATCAATAGAAAAATGACTGATCACATGATTATACACGAGAAGTATTACTGAAAGTTGAAATAATCAATTCAATTTTCATTTTATTTATGGATTTATGGAATATTCAACAATAAATGCAAGTTCAAATAGTCCAGAAGCGAATCCCCCTTCATAAATTGACCTGTTTACTCTATTTAATTTTCAATATTTGTAATTCTGCTATTACAATTTTTTTCTGGCTGGGAAATAAAAAATTCCCGTTGTCTTAAGATGATTTGTATATTCTTCCTCGCTAAATTTTGAATTTTATTGATTAAAAAGTTGTTGAGTGTTGGACATTGACGGTACTGCGCTAGTAGTCCAGTCAAACTAGCTCTGAAAATGTCGTTTACATCGAAATTAACCAAAGGGCACCAAATTACACCAATCGATAGCTAAAAGTGTAATTATTAATGTTTTAAAAAGTATATGCTCAAATTTGCCGGGGTTACCCTCCATTTGTTATAAACAATAGGGCATTGCCGACAGGCCGTCTTCAATCCTAGATATCTTAAGTTAACCTCATCAGATGGGAAAAAAAAAATATTTCTTTGTAGCTGAGAAAATGTCCTATCGGGGGGAGTTAGGAACTTATAGCCCAAAATGTACCGTTAATTTACTATAAATTATAATAGCAATTTCGGAGCAGTCGGCGCAACGCGTCAGCTGTTACCCTCCCTGCGACAGTGCCATGAGTCACGTGATTGGCGCCATCCGCAACTTATTCAAACCTCCCAAGCAGCACAGTTCCGGAGGGTATCTGCAAGTATACCAAAAAGGCTGTCTAATGTCTGTCCAAAAAGATAACTTGTGTCTAGAAGTTAACTAAAAGTTATCGTATGACTGCAAGATACCTTTTGGACGGACATTAGTCAGCCCTTTTGGTATTCTTTCAGATATCTTTCGCAAGGTTTGCTACTTGGGCTCCTGCTGCGCTCAACGCAATAGCCCTCAACTGGATTTTTGATGAATATCTCTGAATCTGTGGCTAGTAGTCAAATTTTCATTATAAACTTTTTTGTAGATCTTTATTTGCTCTATAAAAATGGTTTTGACAAAAATTTTGCTATTCTCCAACGTTTTCGAGATATTCAATGAAAAATTAACAATATTCAAAATATTTTTCATTGAATATCTCGGAAACTTTGGAGAATAGCAAAATTTTGGTCAAAACCATTTTTATAGAGCAAATAAAGATCTACAAAAAGTTTATAATGAAAATTTGACTACTAGCCACAGATTCAGAGATATTCATCAAAAATCCAGCTGAGGGCTATTGCGTTGAGCGCAGCAGGTTTGAATAAGTTGCGCATGGCGCCAATCACGTGACTCATGGCACTGTCACAGGGAGGGTAACAGCTGACGCGTTGCGCCGACTGCTCCGAAATTGCTATTATAATTTATAATAAATTAACGGTACATTTTGGGCTATAAGTTCCTAACTCCCCCCGATAGGACATTTTCTCAGCTACAAAGAAATATTTTTTTTTCCCATCTGATGAGGTTAACTAAAGATATCTAGGATTGAAGACGGCCTGTCGGCAATTCCCAATTGTTTATAACAAATTGTGAATCACCCCGGCAAATTTGAGCATATACTTTTTAAAACATTAATAATTACACTTTTAGCTATCGATTGGTGTAATTTGGTGCCCTTTGGTTAATTTCGATGTTAAAAATCTAATTTGACTGGACTATAGTTTGTTACTCGTGGAACATATGATAACTCACATCGTCGTTCAACGAAAAGGTATGATTCTGAGAATCCAAGGTCTTCACCGTGAGATCGATCATTTTGGGGCTCGTGTAGGGAGAAAATCAGCTGCAACTATTTCCCTGAAGAATCTCTCTACTTCACACGATTAAAAAGCCATAATTCAATTAACTATAAATCCACGAATATTCAGGTGATGAAATTAGAAAGAGTGTGTGTGGCAATATTACACGTCCACTTACCGTATCCAACCGATGACAAGTCCAAAGCTAGAGTGCACTGATGAATATCGAAGGGCAAATAATTTTCACCGGATTACTATGCGATAAACTCATCCACTCGATACTATTTCATCATCACCCCCTTGAATAATTGGCCCTAAATGCACTTTATTCCTCCCTGAAGGTATTATGATGCGTCGCACACGTTATTTTACCCAGAATTCATTTTCTTCCTTGAAAAAACTAAAATGCCATACTGCCAACTCTTATTTTTTCGAGGAAGCAGCACGCTAACGACACTTAGCGGACATTCGCGTTCAGCTCCGGTGGTAATTCTCTGTTGTGTAATTCTCTGCATTGCCGACGAATTCAAAACTTTCAATTCGGATGTCGAAATATTCTTAAAAATTTTTGAACGTGATTATGAATTTATTTCATTTTATTTTTCATTTTATCGTGTTAAAAATGAAACATTCATTTGCAAGAATCAATCATAACATTTTGATTAATGTTTAATCATTTTATGATGTTAAAAATTAAACAAATATTCAAGATATCCTTCTTTTAAATATTTGAAAGTGATTACGAATTTATTTCATTTCATTTTTTATTTTATCGTGTTCAGAATGAAAAATCCATTTTCAACTATTCTATCCTGCGTGCCAAATTCTGTCTAATTTGGTAGTGACTATTCACGTTTTGATTGAAAACTCCAGTAAGCTGAAGAATTTCCGTTTCCTTTCTCGTTAAAAATTCGGAATTTCATTGGATTAAATTGAATTTCAGTGTTTCTCCATGGAATTTTAATGTTTTTCTCGTAGTGTATTATGAATTTCGGATGAGGAATCTGCGGCTCTAAAAATCTACGTTTGTTATTAATAAAGTTTACGTAAAATGAAACTCTTGAATTCCAATATCCACTTTCTCCCATTATGAATGTCCAAAAGCGCTGCTAGAATTTCAAATTCTATAAATTCCACTGTTGGGGGAATTTCGAATCCTCGAACGACGGAAAATACTTGGGCCTCGTTTCCGCACACGACTGGCCGTAATGACTCACTCCCGTCGAGCGAAATGATAAGAAAAACCCGAAAAAACGTAAAGAGCATTCCTCCAGGAATATATTCTTAGATTTTTAATCAATTGAAAAATTATTGCCATTTAGTACTGAATGATGTTATTCATATTTTTATTGATAATTCAAGTAATCTGGGGAATTGTTATCTCCCTGCTACTCAAAAATTTACAATTCTATTAGATTATCAATGAAATCTCAAATTGCATGACTTTCCCCCTAAATCGAAATTAATTATTCCCTAATTGTCCAATATCCACTTTTCCCATTACAATTCTCGCAAAAGCGCTACTAATTTCAAACTCTATAAATTCCACTGTTGGGGGAATTTCGAATCCCCGAACGACGGAAAATACTTGGGCCTCGTTTCCGCACACGACTGGCCGTAATGACTGACTCCCGTCGAGCGAAATGATAAGAACAACCCGAAAAATCGTAAAGAGCATTCCTTCAGGAATATATTCTCAGATTTTTAATCAATTGAAAAATTATCGCCATTTAGTACTGAATGATCTTATTCATATTTTTATTGACGATTCAAGTAACCCGAGGAGTTTTTGTCTGCCTGCTACTCAAAAATTTACAATTCTATTAGTAGATTTTCAATGAAATCTCAAATTACATGACTTTCCCCCTAAATCGAAATTAATTGTTCCTTAATTGTCCAATATCAACTTTTCCCATTACAAATCTTGCAAAAGCGCTGCTATAATTTCAAATTCTATAAATTCCACTGTTGGGGGAATTTCGAATCCCCGAACGACGGAAAATACTTGGGCCTCCTTTCCGCACACGACTAGCCGTAATGACTGACTCCCGTCGAGCGAAATGATAAGAAAAACCCGAAAAAACGTAAAGAGCATTCCTCCAGGAATATATTCTTAGATTTTTAATCAATTGAAAAATTATTGCCATTTAGTACTGAATGATGTTATTCATATTTTTATTGATAATTCAAGTAATCTGGGGAATTGTTATCTCCCTGCTACTCAAAAATTTACAATTCTATTAGATTATCAATGAAATCTCAAATTGCATGACTTTCCCCCTAAATCGAAATTAATTGTTCCCTAATTGTCCAATATCCACTTTTCCCATTACAAATCTTGCAAAAGCGCTGCTATAATTTCAAATTCTATAAATTCCACTGTTGGGGGAATTTCGAATCCCCGAACGACGGAAAATACTTGGGCCTCCTTTCCGCACACGACTAGCCGTAATGACTGACTCCCGTCGAGCGAAATGATAAGAAAAACCCGAAAAAACGTAAAGAGCATTCCTCCAGGAATATATTCTTAGATTTTTAATCAATTGAAAAATTATTGCCATTTAGTACTGAATGATGTTATTCATATTTTGATTGATAATTCAAGTAACCTGGGGAATTGTTATCTTCCTGCTGCTCAAAAATTTACAATTCTATTAGATTATCAATGAAATCTCAAATTTCATAATTTTCCCCCTAAATCGAATTTAATTGTTCCTTAATTGTCCAATATCCACTTTTCCCATTACAATTCTCGCAAAAGCACTACTAATTTCAAATTCTATAAATTCCACTGTTGGGGGAATTTCGAATCCCCGAACGACGGAAAATACTTGGGCCTCGTTTCCGCACACGACTGGCCGTAATGACTCACTCCCGTCGAGCGAAATGATAAGAAAAACCCGAAAAAACGTAAAAAGAATGCCACCGGGAATGCACGGAAAAGACAGATAGCGTGATATATACACACAAGAGATAAAAACTCGTAAGGCAGAGAGGGGTTACGTTGTGGGCCATCAAGGAGTCGGGTCCATCAGGCGCCAGAAGATGAAAAAAATAAAAAAGAGGAAGAAAATACGTGAAAAGGAAACGAATAGAGGGAAAAGAAACTCGGGGGGGGGGGGNGGGGCACGCCTCATAATGATGTAGCTGTCTCGATTTAGCTCTCGTTCCCTTGTCCGTCCAGTGGAGTACTTGGTTGGGGTCGTATACGCCTTGTTTTTCTCACATAGCCCGACTGTCCGGCTCCTGCGTGTCCGCCAACGGTTCCGGTATACACAGTGGCTTGTACGAGTGAAATGAGGTGGAGTATCGAGGCAAGTGGAATTGTCATTTTTATCTCCTCTTATTTATTTATATTTTTATTTAATGATCTTTTTATTAGACGTCTTCTTGTATCGAATGTACAGTTTTTCGATGTTACGCACGAACGGTAGGCGTTCATGCGGCTTCACTCCCAGTTCGTGTTTCGTTATGCGCGATCGTCCGTGAGGCGCCCAACAGCCCCTCGTGTACGTTGGCGCCAGGCTGCATTCTCGCATTTGTTTTATAACCAACACGCGAGACTCTTATTTTAATGTCTTTCTCTTTATTTTTCTCTCTTTATTCTTTATTCATTCACATTGAAACAAGGATAACGCCAGGGCCTTATTTTTCGTCTTTTGGAGAATTAACATTTGTAAATAAATATTTCAATTTTATCCGTTGTTCCTGTATCACTGATTATTTTAGTGGATTAAATGGAAAATAAAAAGAAATTATGAAATATGAATTTTTTTAGCTTTATTTTCATTCATTTATTTATTTATTTCTGCAATTTTATACGTAATATTATTTATGTAGGGGAGTTCCTGCTGCATAATTAATTAAAGTTAATGGTAATAATAGAAGTAACGTAAATCGTGGTGACAGATCATGTCCGGAAATTAATGATTGATACTCTGGTTTAGTTTCTGAGATTTTGTACTTGGAATATTTTTATTTTGAGTTATATTTGCATTTATTTGAAGTTGCGGTTGCGTTATGCGTTAAGTCTGTAACTTTCTATTTTTGTTCCTAATTGGCTCAATCACTGGACATTTATCTTTATTGTTTATTCATTAAGATTGAAATGAGGATAACGTCAGCGCCTTATTTTTCATCTTTTGCAGAATTAACATTTGTAAATAAATATGTTTCTTTATCCGTTGTTCCTGTATTACTGATTATTTCAGCGGATTAGATTGGAAATAAAAGGAAATAATGAAATATGAAGTTGCTTTCATGTCTTCATTTCATCACCGTTTGCAGAATTAACATTCGCGAATAAAAATTCAAGTCTTCACCCATCGATTCCTGCATCATTCACGATCCCAATAAATTAAGTTGCCAATGAAAATAAATACTGAAACATGAAATTTGATTCGCCGGAATTTGTACATGTAAAAATGGGATAGATGAGGATAGAGGAAAAGTCGACAGAAAAAAATTCTCACCGTTCCTAAATAAAAATTCAATTTCAATCCCTGGACTTCTGTATCACTAATAATTTCATTCAATCTAATTGGAAATAAAAAATAAAATAATAAAAATAAATAATGAAATACGAAAAGTTTCATTCAGACCTTTTTCTTTTTTCAGTCTTTATTTATTATTCATTCACATTGAAACGAAGTTATCGTCAGGACTTCATTGTTCATCACTTTTTGCAGTGAACTAAATTGTAACTAAAAAAAAAATTAAATATGAAGTTTCATTTACGGAAATTCCCCTCACGGATCCGTATATGCAGCAATGGGACGGATGAGGATAGAGGAAAAGTCGACGGAGGAAAAATTCTCACCATCCCACTAAATCATGAGCGATAGAGTAATGGAGACAGCAGTCGTATTTCCATTGATAAGGAGTATTCACGTTGCTCAACTTTTGACCTTTGTTTATAACGTATCGACATAACTGTCTAAGAAAATACACGATAAACTTTCGAGTGAAGACAACTCAATGGTTGACAAAATACAATATCAAGAAGAAATATCCCTTTGATAATTTCGTTTTTTTTTTCGGTAGTTTTTCTGCGTGAACACGATATTTCTCCGGCGTTCCATGCTACTTCGATCAAGTCAAAATACATTTTCTCCAAACTTCATTGTAAATTCAACTTTTTCGAGTCTAATTTTTTCCACCGAAACTTTCACCTGTTTTGAATAAAAAGTTTTTGTGCACTTCTTTCAGAAAATTGATATTCATCGAATTATCATTTTTGTTTACATTTGTTTTGTTATCATTTTAAGGCATGCTTGCAACATTTCTACATCATATTCAATTTTCATCGTAATCGAAGAAGAAATGAAAAGAAGGATAAATGTTATTTTTTGTAAAGTAATTATTTATTTTATTTGTATGACGTTTATTGCTTCTTCGCAGAGGGGAAGTTCTTGTTTTTATTGTTTATAAATAAAGTAATTGTTCGCAAACAAACGTTGAAATTTCCCCGCATTTTCCTCCCAACTTTCCCTCGATTTTTGTTTTTTAAATATTTTTTTTGTCAGTGGAATGTTGTGCCCACTGAATTATTCATTTATTTATAATTTTTATTTATGTACTCTCGTTTAAATGTGTCACGTGTTAGGCATTCCATTCCAAAAGCTGGGGACCATGTGAGGACGGATAAAGAACCTCAAAAAAGAATTTGAAAAAGAAAAAAAGAAAATAAAAAGAAAAGAAGAAGAAACATAGTAATAGAAATACAGTTCGACGTCCGCAAAGAGTGCGTGGAATGTCCAGTGGGTAGGAGGTGTCGTACGGCACACATAAATTTTCTCTTTGTTTTGTCCACCCAGTAAATTTTCGGCCTGTGACAAAAAAGATAAGAGAGAAAGAAAAAAATAAAATGGAGATAAAACAATTCGATGGTGAATTTTCGGGGTGCGTGACAAGGCGCGTTTGGAATGTCGCTTCCACGACGCCTCGTTGACGCCTCATCGTTTTTCTCGGGTACAAAATTCTCCTCCTGCATGTTGACTATTGTAAAAGGTGTTGTCTTCAATCGCTCACCATTTATATCAGTCAATGTATCTGGGCTCAATTGATAATCGAGTTACAATTAAGCCGATTAACCCTGAAGCCCTTTTACCACTGGTTCGTACTACGAATCATTTCCATCATCATTGAATAAAAGTATATTGACATAATGGAATTAGATTCTATGGAAATCACTTAATGTCGTAATCAATTTCACTCAGGTATTTTTTTTTTTTCAATTGAATCAAGTGCATTATTTATTTATTGGATCCTGTCATTTAGGAAAATTGCGAGGAATTTAATGTGTGAAAGAACAAACAAATAAATAGAGATTGAAAATATAAATTTAAGGATATCCAAGTATCTTTTACAGTTTGATACAGACTGCACAATAGATTTATTGATTTTCAATCATCAAATTTGTCTGTTAAATTGCGTAAGAAAAATTTGAAAAAAAATCATGAAAATTACGTTTTGCACAGAATTATTATTTTTTCAAACATTCGTTGTTTATAAATAAATAACTGTAATTGTTTAAACTTTTGGAAACCTTAATTTTTTTTAATTGCAATTTTTCAATTATTTCATCAATTTTCCTTAAAAAGTAAATTATTTAATTTGTTTTCAGATTTTTAAAATGTTTTTTAACGATTCAATATCGAGATTCAAATTCAAACCTGCAAAGTTTAAATTAAAAAAACTTTGTAAAATGCCTGAAAACTAAGGGTCAAATAGGGCTCAAATGAAAGCTCTGATGTTTAATACAAAATTAGAGATGCATTTCACTAGAGAAAAAATAGCTAAAGTACTTCGATGTTAAGAAGAAATTCACAGATGAAAAATTTCAAAGAAAAACCTAGCGAATTCGATAGAAAATGTCCAACAGAAACTATTTAATTGAAAAAGTCAGTAGAATTTCACTTTCCGCGCAACTTTTTCTATTGACATTTCCTCTAGCCATTTCTCGACATGGATTTTCTGTTCTTCCCACTCTGCCTTTCTCCCCTCATCATAAAAAAAAAATCAAACAAAAAACTTTTGAGAAATTGCGCCCAAGAATGTCTATAAAAAATATTCCACTCGAACAGCTTGTTGTCGTATCAAATTCAATTGGATTTTTTATAGAATATTGTCCATTGAGCATGTTCTATACAAAAAATGTAAAAATAGAACCAGCCAAAAACCAATAGAAAATGCAATAGAAATCCATAACAATGTTCAAGCGAATTTCCTAGATTTTTCAATAAAATTGTTCTCCCCGGATTAGTTTTGAGTCGACTTGTCGTCTCTATAATCAACAAACTGCAAACCAAACAATAACTAAACAAACAGTTGCGCCTAAAAATCGTAGAAAGTCTTTCCCGATAAGACAAGTTAATCCCAAGTAGCCTCCAATCAACCATTTCCCCAAGTCTTTCCCGCAAAGGTCCCATTTCCCATCGGCAATCAGTCCTGTTTGTGTTTTCGTACTTGCCATACAAACCTCGTCGGCGCAGGCTATAAGTAAGTCCCGCACGGCCAGCTACGATTTAATGTTGTCGGTGCGTTCGTGGCGCCAGCAGTTTGAAACGCACGCGTGACGAATTGCCTCCCATCAATTCCCCCGTCTCAATAATTACCCAATTACCCCAAAAAACCCCTACAAATGCACCCCAATTCCCGGATCCCCCTTAAACCCGAGAAAATTCAAAGTGACAAGTGGCTTAATCCTCCAAATCTAATAACCGTGACAATCCAAGTTGAAGTGTAACAAGAGTTGATGGCATGGAAGTTAAAAAATTGAACAAAAAGAATTGGAGACAGTAATAAAGAAAACGCACAGAGAAGAGAGTGAGAGGGACTATCGGCGTTGGGGAGAGGGAAAAAAAAATAGTGAGATAGAGGAGAGTGAGAGGGAGTAGGAGGTCAGGAGGATTGTGCCGGAGGTGGGGGAAAGCAGACTACTGGGCAAAGCGAGTCGGCTGATTGATTGTCACAAGGGGAAACACGGGGGGTGGGGGTGAGCCCGCAGGGTGGATGAGCCAAGGGGTGGTAGAAGGGGGGGCCGGGGTAGAATCGACGAAGATACTTGTCGGCAATTGGTTGTTTGCGGGGGGTGCGCGCATGGTCCGTTCCGGAATCATTGCGGATGGGGACTCTTGGTTGTTTGGATGGTGATTAGGATAGTCGGTAGCATAACGTTGACTAAGAGAGTACAATTACCCATCGGGCTGTATTGAATAATAAGTTTTGAAGGGAGAGAGAGAGAGAGAAAGAGAGAGTGGAAAAAAAATAATAAGTTGTTGATACAATGTCTGGTTTACTTTACACTCTACTCGGACTCGCCGCCAGTTCGAGTCTACATTGTGCTGTTAGACGTGAGATAAGTCCATGCACATGCAGACAGGAGGATTTTTCAAGTCCAGTTGTTGTTAATCCAGTATCAGTAACACCATCCACTGATCCGGGTAATGTTGGTGTTATTGTACCGAGTGGTAGTGTCAGTGGTGCTAGTGGTGGTGGTGTTAAAAATATTAATGCACATGGTCATGGTGAAAGAATTGAAGTTGTGTGCGAAAGAATGGAGTCATTTGGACAAGTTGCTGATGCACTCAGGGGTAAATTCACTGCTGAACAGCAGATTACTCTCAGAGTTTCGCACTCACAATTGCGCGATATATCGCGGCATGGTTTTAAGGAGCTCAGGATGTCGATAACACGGCTTGAATTGAATCATGATCATCTGAGGTAAGTGTCAACAGTGTCATTCATGTTTCGTGCCATTTGTTCGGTCAATATCAACTGCAAATGAGTGACCACTGCGTTGGTCTCCGTCAGCGTTTTCTCCCTTATTTTGTTGTAAATACAAATGGACAGAAGGTTGTACCACGTGTGTCTGACTATAGCATACACACCACTACTCACTTCACTCAAAGATGTGATAAATATAATTTTTCGAAGAAACTCTCCATTCATCTCCGACTCTCCCATAATGTGAGACGTGTGAATTACCAGTGTTGGGCCACATGCAGAGAGCACGTGGTTTTTTCATGCCCCTGTCTAGTCGAAAACAACAATAACACCACGTAAACCACATCGTTACACCGAGTCTGTTCATAATTCGAGATACCTCGGAACGAAAAATAAATTTTCGATAAAATAAAGCGTCTGCCACAGGCCGTTGCAACTTCTGGCGCCTCACAATAAATAAAGATAGGCTTAATCGTGCCTGACCTTTTTCAGATGACTGTGTAACGTGTTTATGTATGCATTTATCGCACTTATCAGTGGCAGTAATTAAATAATAAATCACAATGACCCTTAGGTTTGAAGTTTGTAAATGAGTCGATTATGGCTCCGGAAGTTTTTACCGAAATTTCGTATTTTTCACTGGATGAATTTTGAGGTAATGCCGATGGAATTGACGAGTGTATGAGGAATTTGTTTTCCAGTAATGTAGATGGGGAAGTATTCGCTGGATTGAGCCGCACGCAATACTTGAGTCTAGCCGATAACGAAGTATTGTCGATACCGAGGCATATTTTATCGCATCTGTCACTGCTTCGTACACTTGATCTCAGCAGAAATCGCATCAGTCGCATTGATTCTGATGATTTCAAGGTAATGGTTCGAAATTACTTATTAGTGTCGTAAATTATTCCTGAATTTTGGTGAAACGGACTTTCTTTAATCGTCAATGTCCTGATTAAGGCGCATCCCGAGATAATACCACCCAAAAGTTCGTCCCTATGGATTTCCGGAAAAAAAGTTTGAATTATTTAACTTATTGCATTCTCATAAGTTATTGATGACGACAACAATGACTGTTAAATAAGAAATTAAATTAATTAAATAAGTAATGATTAATTATTTAAATAGGTAGATAAGTAATGATTTCACGAAATTTCCACTTTTTAGAGTTGAATATCGCCGAACCTACGCAGTATAAAATTTTATAAAAAATTCATTGCATTTGAAATTTATTTGGAATTCATTGAATTTATTGTTTGGGGGACCCATAACTCCCGCTTGGTCTCTCTGAGAGGTAGTATAAACATTATCTATGAAAAACATGGGGACAATCCTGAGAAAAACCTGTTTTTTTAGAGATATACCTTGAATAATTCATGTCTCATTTTGAAGAAAGAATACCTTAAAATTTTTTTTTAAATGAGAAATTTCAATCTACTGTTCTCGAGATATTACGATTGAAGCATTCGATGCAGTAAATGTCTCACAAAAATAAATCCTTGAATTATCCCTTGAATTCTAGTTCAATATCTCCTGCTTAAGGTATATATCCCAAGACAATACCACCCAAAAGTTGGTCCCTAGAATTTCCGGAAAAAATTCTAAATCACTTGATTTACATCATTCTCATAAGTCATTGAGTTTTTCTGTCCTCATGTTTTTGGTGAAGGCAACAATAACTGTTTGAATCAAATGAATTATTTGTTAATTAATTGTACAAAAAACTGACCTTATTCGGAATTTATCAATCTACCCCGAAATCCTTTTTTAAGAACATCGTAAGAACCATTCTCTCATGAGATGGAAAAAATGAGTTCGGGGGACAATAACTCACGTTTGATCTTGCGTGCTAAAAGCCCGCGTTTCATTATTTATTATCTCCCAAGCTGTGTAGTACAGCTAGTTAGAATTTTTTCAATCCCTGGGGAATGTTATAAACATTATCTATGAAAAACATGCGGACAATCGTAAGAAAAACTTATTTTCTAGGGATATACCTTAAATCATGCGTTTTCAGTAACTCAAAAATGGGGAATTTTCATTTGGTTTTGATGCAGTAAACGTTTTACAAAAATGAGTCCTTCAATTATCCCTCGAATTAATAAAAAAATAATTATAATGTTTTCGTGAAATTCTTACTAAAATTGAATTTTAGGAAATGACGTTTTTTGTAATACAACAATATTTTCGTCAATTTTTTTACTAAAATTCAGGAGTAATTTGTGACGAATGTCTTCTCTCTCCATGTGTTTGATATGCGCTAATTCCCCAGTGTATGATGCAAGTGAACTGCAACAATCGCTATTAAATTTTCAGTACAATCCGACACTCCAGCATCTGTCAATGGCCGGCAATTCGATATCGGAAATGATACCCGGTTCGCTTCCACCACTCGTTCGACATCTTCATGTCGGTAGAAATCATCTCAATTCACTGAATCGAACCCTCCGGTATGTACAACATAACATCACTCTTAATATCCTGTTTACAATGTATCTCGAAGATGTCATTGGCTGATGAGTTAATGAGGGACAATTAAGCTTCCTCCTTCAAGACGATTCCATTAATCTTTCGCTTGACGTCTTATTGATTCAAAATGAAAACAATGTTTGCTTCTCTCACGTTCACAACATCACGTACGAAAAAATTTCATAGAAAAATTTAGCGAATTTTGTGAAAAATTCTACTGAACTTTTTATCAGTTTTTCTATTGAAAAATTATTTGCGTTTTTTTTTCAATTGAAATGTTCAATTATGAATATCCTATTGAGGCATTTTCTTTAGAAATTGGTAGACTTCATTTTTTGTTGTTATTTAAACTTGGAAAATATTAATTTAATGTCGAGGAATTTTTACAGAAAATACCTCAATAGAAAAAATTGTTTACAAAAATGAAATTCCACTCACGTTTTCTGTGAAATAGTTTCCATTGACGTTTTCTATAGAAACATTTAATAGAAAAAATTTATAGAATTTGATTTTTCTATAGAATTTACTCAGTAGATATTTTCTAGAAAAATTCCTAGATTTTGTCTATGACATAGCTTCTATTGGACATTTTCTATTTAAAAAAAAGGCACAATGAAGCTGTGGAATGATTCAATAGAATCAGCCAAAATCCTATAGAATTTCATTCTTCTATAGAATTTAGTTCACTGAGATATTTTCTATAGGCATTCCTAGGGTCAAATTTTCTGTTTTTTATTTAATTTGTTTTAAGGGAAAAAGAAAAATGGAGTAAAAAAAATTTTGAAAATTCACGTCAAGGAATTCCTACAGAAAATGTTTCCTGAAGATGAAATCTTACTGATTTTATCAATAATATAGACTCTATTAAAGATTTCAATTATTCATGATTTGCGCATTAATTCCACTTTTTCTAACTCAATTTTATTAAATTCCCACTAGCGATCTGAACCAACTGGAGTGGCTATTCCTAAATTCAAATGAACTCACGTCTTTGGACGGTGAACTACCAGCTTCTGGACACAATCTAAAGATGCTCTACGCCGCTGACAACGAATTGACTCATCTCCCAACGGAATTTCGTTATCTCCACAGACTTGAAACATTATTCCTTCAACACAATAACATTCACAGTCTCGATGGAACTCTGCAGAAGGCGCGAAGACTAAAGTTCTTAGAATTGTCTTATAATAATCTGCAAGAGGTAATTGATTCCCAAAAACTATACGCAGAGAAAAATTTACATAAACAATTCTTTTTTAATTTTTTTTAAATGTAAAATGTGAAGGACTTTAAATTATTTAATTTTCTCTGCAATTTCGAGATAAATTCCCATAAAAATGTTGTCTATCTGATAAAATAATATATCAACAAATATTCATTTTAAATATCAATTGAAAGTTAACAGAAGAAGATTTCGTAGAGGCTGTACACAAAAAAAAATTTACATAAAAAATTCCTTTTTAATTTTTTTAAAATATAAAATGTGAAGGACTTTAAATTATTTAATTTTCTCTGCAATTTCGAGATAAATTCCCATAAAAATGTTCTCCACCCGAAAAAATAATATATCAATGAATATTAATTTTAAATATCAATTGAAAGTTAACAGAAGAAGATTTCGTGGAGGCAGAGATGCTTGAAGATCTAGAATTGGGTCATAATTCCCTGAAATCATTGGGCGGTGATACAAGCATTGGTGGCGATGGCAACGGTAGTAACAGTGCTCTCTGGCCCCTGAGATCATTAAAGTGTTTAAATTTGACCCACAATGAGTTGAGTGAATTTTCATTCGCCTTGTTACGTGGACTCAAGGAATTACGTCTCCTCGATCTTTCTAGTAATCGAATTGTCCGTCTCTATCGTGGACCAACTGAGGTATGTCAGGCACACATTTTTCAAGGTTGAAACAATTGTCCCTGATTAATGAATTCATTGATTTACGTAGAATCTCGTTGAGGAGGAGGGAGAGGAGATACCTGGTGCTAGTATCCAAGACATGCGACTGCAGAATAATGAATTGAGTAGTCTAGAGGGCTCATTATTCATAGGAATGCGGGAATTGCAGAGGCTCAATCTGAGTCATAATGCACTGGGGCCAACCATTGGACCGCAAGATCTGAGGGGTCTCGAGGGACTGCGTGTCTTAGATCTTTCTTACAACAGACTTACGACACTTGAGGACACATCGGAGGTGAGTGCATTCCATTATTTTTGCATTCTCTTCTGTTGTTCTCATGTGAATGATTCTTTTTCCCTTCAATGTCGACAATTTTTGCCGGTAATGTCCTGCTACAGCTTTTGGGAATTTTTAGCATATTGTTTCTCTGAAATTTTGAGGAATTTCGTGATTGAAAATGCAAACTTTTATGGGAAAATTAATGGAAAGTGGACGTTAGTAGAATTATTTCATGGCAATTAATGGATGTCAGGTAAATTCAGGTGAATGTATTCTTGAATTTTGAATTGATTGCAAAATGTGGGGAATTTTATTTCATTCAGTTCATTTCTTTTTTATTTCGTAAAGAGCCAACAGGAGATGGCCAATTAAGGGATCAAATTAAATGATCATGAAGGATCATAAAGAAATTAATAAAATGAATGGATCAACATAATAATCAGGATTATTCATTTTTTATTATTTTATTTGGCACTGAATATTCAGGTTTTGACTGGAAATTCAAGGAAATTGGAGAATTCTCATCCTCCTGCGATTAAAAAATTTTGAATTCCATTCAAGTATCACTGAAATGTGAAATTTTATATTTCATTCCTCTTGAACTAAATTTAATAATAATTAATTAATTGAAACCCATGAAACTTTCAATTGGTGTCAGAACGCATTTGAGCACAATATTATCTATATAATATATTGAACATTCAGGGGAATATATTCTTGAATGAATATATTTGGTACTGAATATTCATGTTTCGACAGAACATTCAAGTAAGCTGGGAAATTCTCATCTTTTTGTTGTTTAAAAAATTGAAATTCCACTGAATTCTCAGTGAAACCTGAATTTTCATGATTTCTTTTCCCCTATATCTAATTTAATGTCACTTTCCTCACAATTTTTTCCTAATAGTGTTCGTTCTATTTGCATTCTAATGCAAAAATTAATGGATTGAAAAAATTGGGACCCAAAACCCAGTATTATCTATATAATATATTAAAAATTCAAAATTTTACGAAAAAATGGAAAATTACGGTTCAATTATGGAAAATGCAAGTAAATTCTCATCTTTCTGCTGTTCAAAAATGTGAAATTTCATTAAATGTTCAGTAAAACCTGCAATTTAATGATTTCTTTCCTCCTAAATCAAGTTGAATGTCACTCTCCTCAACTTTTGTTTCCACCAGTGTTCGTACCATTTTCGTAGCAATGAAAATTGATGAATTAAAACCCACGAGTCTTCCAATTGATGTAAGAATTGGAATTCCAACCGAATATTATCGAATTCCTTTTCAACAACCGCTTTATTCTCTTTCATCACTGTTTACAGACGTATTTGCCAGCTCTAGAGGAGCTCAATGCATCCAACAATCGTCTGATAACACTATCAGAACGAGATTTCCGGGGTTTTCCAGGTTTATGCTGGGCAGATGTCAGTGCCAATGAGATAAGATCATTGACACCGGAATTGGTCGCTAATACACGATGCACAGTTCATGGAGTGCCCGATGTATTACGCATTTACTTACAAGGTAAATACTTTCATGATTCATATCACGCCACAAAACAAGACCAAACGATCGCCGCTCTGAGGGAATACAAATTTCAAGAGTCGTGTAGTGAATTATAATAACAATACTGCCCTTGTTATTGTGATTAATTGGTGTACAGGATGTCTCAAAATTGATCTGACATATTGTGACCCTCACAACATGAAAGCTCGGGGGATTATTTGAAGACGAATGATTTCCAGACATCAAATTTGTCAATTAAATTGCGTGAGAAAAATTTGAAAACAATCATGAATATTTAGCGTCATTATAATTACATTCTGCAGACAATTATTTTTTTTAACATTTGTTGTTTATAAATAAATAATTGAAATTGTTTAAACTTTCGGAAGGTTTCGGTAAAATTCTGAATATGAATAAATTTGTTTCGATTCCGAACAAATGATTTTCATGGTAGAAAATCGACTGTTTATAAATTATTTACTGAAAATGGTCGTAATTTTCAAACATTGCCATTTTTTTATTATTTCATCAATCTTTCTCCAAAAATAAACTATCTAATTTGTTTCTCAGATTTGTAAAATGTTTTCTAACAGTTCAATATCGAAATTCAAACTCAAACGTGCAAAAGTTGAATAATAAAATAATTGAGAAATATCCGAAAATTTCGAGTCGAATGGGGAAAAATAGCTGAAGTCCTTAGATATTCTTAAATGGAAGACGGAGTATGATCTACTGCCCTTTGCTCTTGATACCTTGTAAACAAAGCGTCGGAGACAGAAATTTTAAAAACTTTCATCTCCAAATGACCTTCCGCGAGCTACACTGAGAGAAAAACAAACACGTTGTCAAACAAGTCTTGTTTGGGCCAACAAAATCGCTAGTTAAAAATTGCCAAAAAAGAAGTTGTTTGGTTCGAATTTGAAAGTCTCAAACATGAATAATTGTTCTGCTTTCGACAGCAACAAAATATTTGGCTCAAGAGGCGGATAATTCACACCGGACGTTGCCTTTTCAGGATGAAAATATCTCATATAGAGGAAAATTTATCAACAAATATTTTATCCCTAAGTTACAAGATTGCTTTCATCTCATTATTATTGTTTCATTTAAGGGTTCATTTCTTGTCTGTGATTATTAGACAGCCGAAACGAAAAACTACTATCCCTTGTTCCGCATAAAACAAAGATGTTTCGGGAGCAAAATACCTATGGAAGTATCGAATAACGAAGGAGTAGTGCTAGAAATGACATTTCTTGCGTGTACAGAGAATGCAATTTTTTTTTAACTACTAAATCTATGTTCGTAACAAAAATGTTTCATTCCGACGTACTCTCTGCATGTTTGGCACAAAAAAATCCTTTTTTGATAATTTTCAAAAAGCTATTTTCTTGGCTCAAGTAAGACTTGTCTGAGAACTTTGTCGTTTTTCTCTCAGTGTACCCTCACGATACGTCAAATCCGTTTCGATTATTAAATATTGCTACTCATTGGGAAATGAATCTGCAGTTTGTTTTATGACATTTTCATGCCACCATTCATCCAATATTATTTTTCACTCGAATTTATTAGAACGATTAGATACCGGAATTATCGTTATTTCATGACGCCAGAGCCACAATAAGTCACTAAAATCACGAGATACGACACTTAGAAAACTATGAATGCGAGATAACGAGTGATTACTGAAGTGTACATTACCATGTATGAAGTTTCATTCAAGCGGAGTTTGACCTCGGATAAGGAAAAGGGGTTGCCAAATACAAAGATTCAAGAGTTACATCAATGTTGTCTGTTCCCTCCACCATTAATCCCCCTCAATTGTCCTTCCCTCGGCTCGACCCTTCCTTATCTTCATCATCCAAAATGATAAATTTTCCAGAAGCAGAAAAAAAAATAACAATAACACGCATTTTTACAGATAACCCAGTGTTGTGTGACGCCGGTCTGGCCGACCTAACGGTTGCACTGGAAGTCAACCATGCAAAGGTCTATGGGGTCACCAGTAACTGTCCAACGACGATGAAGACGCCAACTGAAACAACATCTACCCTGCCTCCATTACCGCCCACCCTTTTTATTGCGGCTGCTGCTGCCGCATCTGGTGGTAATGTATCATTTGCTGCGACACTCGAATAAAATTATGTACTGAGAGGATGAGAGGAATGCAGAGAGATAATGAAGCTTTAGTTTTTAGGGATGTTTTAGTGATTTTACAAACTTTAACGTACGACGAAAATTTTGTTGGGAAACGTAGGGCGTTCGATAGAAAATTCTACCAAAAACGTCAATGGAATTCGATTTCGCTGCACAAATAATTCTGTTGCCATATTTTCTAGTGAAATTCCTCGGCTCAAATGTTCTCAATGTTTTTTTGTTGGATTTTGGTATGAAAGAGAAGGAAAATAGAGTAGAGAAAACTCGGGAAATTCATGTCGAGGAATTTGTAGAGAGAATGTCTCGATAGAAAATAGTTTCTATTGGTCATTTTCTTTAAACAAAATTCAGTAGAAATTCAATCGAATTTGCTGTTGAATTCGCTAGGTTTTTCCGTGCTATTTATATTTTTTCGCGCGTGTTATTATTCATTTTTAGGGATTCTTGACATTAACTAGAATGACCCTAAACTTGAGGGATTCAATCGCTGAAATGTGGGGACAAAATCACACGAAGAATCATTGTTCAATCTAGGTAATCGGAAAGTGAAGTTATATTTTGCGAATTTTTATTTGAAATTAAGGAAGAATTGTGAAGCAAAAGATAAATTTATCGTTTAAAATTTTTTCGCAAATACTGTTAGAAATTTTGGCTTTTTTTCTGGTAAACTTCCGGAAAATGTTCATCACATTATAATTACTATAAAATAATTGAAGGAAAATGTAAATTTCGGTTCAATTATTCCATGAAAATGAATTAAAATCAGAATAATTCAGGTAAAAATATTCTTGAATTCTCAATCGATTGGAAATTCAGTTTTAAATATTCATATTTTCATTGAAAATTGAAGTAGGTTGGGGAATTCTCGTCTTTCTGTTGCTCACAAATTGGGAATTTCATTGAACTTCCAGTGAAATCTAAAATCTCAATGTCACTGAAGATTACTAGTCAACTGCTGATAAAATTTTAATTCTTTTCTAAAAGCGAACCAACAGTAAAATTTGTGAGTTATTCGTGAAAAACTACAAGAAAAACTGGTTAATTTTACTCCATTTTCGGCAGATTTTTTCATTTCTACTCTATTTTCTTTGGAATTCTTCGTTGATTTATTTCACCTGTCTCGGGAAATTAGCGATAAAATCACATCATTCTAGCATTTTCACTCATTAAATTTCAGCATCAAATCCCTAAAAACTAAAACTTTTAATTTTTCTGCGATAAGAAAGTCAAAACGATGGAGAAGATTCAAATTTATGTCGTGTGAATGTAAGAATTGTAGTTGATTATTATTATTATTTAGGCACAGGCATTGTTGTAGACATTGTAAATAGTTATCATTTTTTCCCCTATACATGTTTAAATTTAGGTTTCAGATATTATTATTTCCTAGTATAAACTTCACGCCTCTACTATCCAAAATGACGAATATTTTAGAAATAACTGATAGTTATTATCGAGGGATCAGATATAATAACTTGAAGCCAGAAAATATTGTGAATCAATAGGTACAGTTTGAGATAAAAAAATTAATGGGAGAGAACTCATGACTGCAGGTCAACTGATGAGTAAAATGAAATCTGTCAAATTGAGACTTGTTCAATTGTCAGTGGGCGAGATGTAGTTGACCTCACTACTTGACCCCGTGCCCATAAAAATGATTTGTTATTGACTCGGGCATTGCATACGTAATATATCCATCACAAATATTTCGAATTATTAATATTATTTATCATTCTTCATTCCTGTTAATTCGTTGCAGGCGAGAAAATTGACAAGTTGAAAATTTGAAAAATTCATCGTAAAAATCTCTGTTAAAAATGTACTACTGAAATTTCTGGTACAATTATTGAAAATTGAATTTCGTCATTGAAGTTTCAGAATTTTATGGAAAAGTGAATGGAAATTGTTAATTTTAGAGTTATCATTCCGTGGACCTTAACAGAATTCAAGAAGATTGAAGGAAATTAATTGGCACTATATATCAGCTAAATATCAATGTTTTGAAAATTCAATCAAGAAACTCAGGAAATTCTCGTCTTCCTGCTGCTCAAAATTTTGGAATTTCATTGAAATTTTAGTAAATTAAAACTTTGGGATTTATTTGCCCTTGAGACCAATTCAATGTCACGCTCCTGAGAATTACTAGGGGAATGTCCATGAAATTTCAAATCTTTTCCAAGAGTGATCAATGATATTGATTTTTAATAAAAATATCTTCTCAAGTTAGTTGTTAAAGACCGTTAGTTTAGGTATCCAATGACTTGTTGAAAGTTTTTTTTAATTCATGATTGAATCTGTTGAATGTCTTTGACTGAAATTTCTGGTACATTTGGAAATTTTCGTCACATTACAGTTCCACTGAAATTTCAAGGAATTTCAAATTTATTAAAAATTCATAATTTCATGGAAAAATCAATAGAAACCGTGAATTTCAGTTCGATTACTTCATGGAGATTAACAAAAATCAGAAAAATCGAAGTAAATACATTCTTGAATTTACAATTAATAGAAAATCTGGAATAATTTGGTATTGAATATCAATATTTTAATTGAAATTTCAAATAACTAGGGAAATTCTCATCGTTCTGCTGCTAAAAATTTTGGAACTCCATTAAATTTTTAGTAAACTCTAGACTTTTGGGATTTATTTCCACTTGAGTCAAATTCAATGTCACTCTCTCGGAAATTACTAGTCAACTCTCCCCGAAATTTCAATAGTTTTCTAACAGTGATCATCAATGATATCAATTTTTGCCCTGAAAATATCTCCCCAAGTCATTTTCTAAAAGCCATTCACAAAACTACTGAATCATTGGCTGAAAATTAAAGAAAAAAATCATCACAAGAATCACTATTAAAAATTTTGACTGAAATTTCTGGTACACTTCTCGGAAATTTTCATAACATTATAGTTCCACTGAAATTCCGAGAAATTTCTCTCATTAAAAACTCAGAAGTTCATACAAAAATCAATAGAAACTGAATTTCAGTTCAATTACTGCGCAGAAATCACCAGAAATCCAAGTAAATATATTATTGGATGTCCAATTAATTAAAAATCTAGAACAATTTGGTACTGAACATTAATGTTTTTACTGAAAATTCAACTGAATTCTGAACGTTCCCGATTAATTTCCCCCTAAATAAAATTAAACGTCGCTCTCCCGAAAATTACTAGTCAACTGTCCCTGAAATTTCACTAGTTTTCTAACAGTGATCCATGACATCAACGTTTACTGGAAATATCTCCTCAAGTCATTTGTCAGAAGCCATTCACTTAGGTATTGAATCATAGAATATTCGTCATAGTATTCAAAATAACTCATAGTCTTATTTCATTCAACAACTGGGTTATAAAAGTGAATGATACGACGAGGAAAAAATTCAGTAATCATGAATGATCCGATCAGCTTCAATTATCCAGAAGTCAAAGTCAGACCTATTGAACTGTTAAGTATTGTAAGTGAAAAATTATTTCATAGCGCTAACCATCGGAATACATATATGCATACATTACATCCATAATCTGAAGACAGATGACTCCAAATGAAATATTTATACACATGTGTGCATATATTGATACGATATGTAACATTCTTAGCTTCTAAGTAATTTATCAACGCTGTGATTTGCAGTTTTTTGCTTTTGTTTTTTTTTTTAAATCAATTTTCTTTTCTTCAATTCGAAGGTTCATGTTGATGATCGTTAATGGACCTCTAAGTCTAAAGAAAAATTGAATGGAATGTGAATCTATTATTGATCTCTGATAATAGAGAGATAAATAAAAAAAATATTATTGCAAAATAACGATAAAACGTTATATTTTGATAAGAAAAGCGTTCATGGTTGATCAGTGGATAAAATTTGACATGTATATGTAACGAATCGTGTGTCTGTGAACATGGAAAGGAAACAATGACGAGAGAAAAAAAAACAAAGTTTCTAGATATCCTAATTTTTATCAATAAAGGCTTTACTCTTCTAAAAAATATGAGTATTTCTTAATGTTCATTCGAATCAATAAAGTATTATTTATGGCTGACATAGTATTTTAAGAAAGTACTTCGTATTTGACATATAAATCTTGCAATATCGAGTGTCTCGTAATCTCTCGATAAATTCAATTTCATTTCGGTAAGATACTTGTCTTTCAGTGGTGGTTGAATGTTCGAGACTGAAATAAAAAAGTATCTCATTAAAACCTAAAGAGGATCTTTTATTTGTGTAATGCAAGGGAATGAACGAATGGTGGAGACTCACCTCGCCATGCTCCATGGGAATTCTGGAGGACTATGTAATAATTGTCTTTGTTGGGATTTGTGTTGAGGAAGAGGGTCACAGTTAATGTGTCGTGGTCGTCCTGGTGCTGAACGTCGATGTGGATGTTCAATTTCTCTTTGTATACTGCTATTGCCATCTTTATGGCATTCCATTCCTTCTTCTTTGCCTCCTTTTGCTTTGACAATTCTAGGAACAAACGAAAGATGATGTAGTTCCATTGTATGACTGTTTCAGGGACAATTCAATGACGAAGTTCATTGAAAATTAGTTTTTTCAGTGAATTTCAAACTGTAAAATGCCATTTTTTTTCAGATATTTTTTTTCATACCACTATTTTTCATAGCTGGAAAAGTAGAAATTTACTTTTTATTTTGAACCCTAAGGATCCTGGGAGCAGTGAATTTAGTTTAACGTAAGTTTCAGTTTAATAATTATGAAAAACTACTTTTAAAAGTGTTGAATTGGAAAGTTTTGAACTTCAATGAAAATCAAATGCAAAAATAATAATTTATTAATTGAATTTAAAATAGTGGAATCGAATTATTTCAAGACATTTTCTTTCATAATTTTTGGTCATAGTAATAAAAACAGAAATTCGGTTTGAGACTTGAGGATTCTTGGAATATTATATTAATAATAACATAAGGCATTATGGAAAAATGTCTTTAAAAAATGTCCTATTGAATTTCAAAAATTTGAACTGACTTTCAGCCATTTCCTCTCACTATTTTCGATAGTACAGTGGAAAAATAGAAATTTATCATGAGACTCGACATTATTGAAGTATTAAATTGCAATTAATTTGAATCTTAATTCAAAAATATCAAAACAACTAAATTTGAAACCTTGTCGAACTTTCAGGCTTCAACTCAATTTTTTTTTCGATGAATAAATTTTAAAAACTTCAAAACCTTAATCAAAGTCGATTTTCCTCACTCGCATTTTCTTGAACCAAAACATTCGAAAACTCTCCCAATAAATATTATTTAAATAATCATGTTATTATTCATTCCCCTCGCAATACTTCATAAATTGAAAATAAAAATAATTGACACTGATTTCCTAGAAATTATGTTAAATTATTTGAAATTAAATTAATATTAAAATAAATACCTTGTTGTAAATCAACCATTTCCAGTGTGAGCGCTTCCCTGCGAGCTTTTTCTTTGCTGATGTCGTCATCCAGACTTTCTTCAAATGCGATGGCATTAGCGATTTTCTTATTCAATACTTTTTGGTCCAGAAGCAAACTGTCCAGTTTTGTTTCCAGGTTTCTGGTCTCATTGGACAATTGTGATATTAATTCTACATTCTGCTCCAATTTGTTCCAAGTTCCTGAACAAAACAGAAAACATGTTATTTGCTATGAATTTTTATTCTATTAATTTGATGCCTAAATTCTATCACTTACCTTTATAATTATTCAACTCTTCTGTCAAAAAATGAGTTATTTTCGTTCGACAGTCATGCAGGTATGTGTTTAACCTCTTGAAATATGCTTTCTCCTCGTCAGGGCAGGAGAAAAGTGTCTCTACATCACACTCCAATCCACTTTTTGCCATCTTACACATTGTTTCATGAACATGGAATTACCGAAGTCAAGGAATAAAACAGAAGAGTGATTGGACAATCAAAATTGACAAGATAAAACTGTAGACATCCACTGTAAACACTCAACGGTTCATGCAGTTTGAAAATTCACTAGTGATTATCACCAACTCTCGAGAGGTGAATAACCCTAGGAAATTTTATAGGGATTTTATTTCAGCGCCATTTTTCCGCGGTTAGTTTTAAATATTTGCCTCCAAAACCCATAATGCTGAATACTTTCAATAATTATTTTAAACTCATCATTTATTTAATTATGGTATTATTTAGAGTTTGAAACGTTGTATATTTTAAGAAACAATTTCGTCAGAAAAGTCGGACGATGGTTGAGACAATCCTCACTTGTTGAATTTTTTGTATTATTTAGAATTTGAAATGTTGTATATTTTAACAAAGAATTTCTTCAGAAAATTCTGTCGACGATTGAGAAAATTCTGAGTCGTTAAATTTTTTCTCCAAGATCGGTTAGATAAAATTAGTAATTAAAAAATGATTACAATGATTAGATACTCTTGCACGTATGATTAAAGACGATTAAGCTAATGACTAGATACGATTTTTTTAAAATTCACTATGAGTTGGGAACGAATACCAACACTCGAGAGTTGAATAATCCCAGGGAATTTCATAGGGATTTTATTTAGACGCCATTTTTCCGCGGTGATTTTCAAGTATTTGCCTCTAAAACCCATAATTCCGAATACTTCCAGTAATAATTTGAAATTCATGCTTCATTTAATTATTTTATGATTTAAATTTGTGAATTTAGTATATGTTAGTGAAACTATTTCTTCAGAAAAGTCTTTCGATGGTTCGAGACAACTCACTTGTTGAATTTTTTGTCCAAGGTCGGGCTGATAAAGGCAATAAAAATTATTACAATCATTAAATATTTTTGAACGTATACTTAAAGACACGATAAAAACCGAACAAAGATTGACACCTGCAGAATCGGTCTGTTTTGCGGTATTCGTAAGGTCTGATTTTGTTGATAAATAATAAAAGAACATTATTCTTTTATTCTTTTTATTATTCTTCGTGATTCCAAGAAGAATTACGTCGCAGCTATTCAAATATCTGATGAAACAGTATAATTTGACAAACAACCGTGGGGAAGTATTTTGACTTGTTAATATCAAGGTTTTAGATAAAACGTATTTGCACAGATGTGACCTATATAACGTACATTTTGTCGAATTTAGGTGCAAATAGGCAGCGGCTTTCGGATCCAATAGTCAGTGGTTACTCAATGATAGAGGAATTCGGATTGGAAGATAAAAATGATTTTTAAAGTGTATTTCGTTGTTCTTCTTGCCTGCACTTTCATCCATGCTGGACCTGTGCGAATAAAGCAAGTGAGTGTCAAAGAAAAATCTTCAATTTATTCAGAATTTTGGGTGTTACCTCCACTTACAAATCATCATTATTGAGGGGAAGTGAGTCGGACCGCATTTCGCGGTTCTAATCCCCACCTCGCGGAGACTCATGATATTCGGCTGGTCCCCTCTCAGAGGTATCATTCATGATTAACTACAATGTTAGAAATTTCTGGAAATTTCAGTCACATCGTGATCAGAATTTTCGATGTTGTGAGGTTGAATTCAATTTCAAATGAAAAGCGTTCACTAAATTTCGCATTCATTTTAAAATTCAAGAAAATTGGGCTTTTCATGTTTAACAATCATTGGTTTTTCAATGAAAGCTTGAATATCCAAACTCATCGTGAAAATTGAATATCACATACAATTCAATTTTCAATAAACTGAGAATTCAAAAAAGTTGTTGACTGAATTTTCAAAAATTTCAAGGTTGTTCAGTGCCGTATGGACCTGAAAATCGAGAATTACTTGAACATTCAAGAAATTAACTGATTCACCAATGAAGAAATATCCAGAAATTTCATGTAACTTTGTCGTTGTTAAAAATTTCAAGTGTTTTTGCTTGAAATTTCCAGAGTAATTTTCGGAAGCCTGAATCCTATGGCATTTTAAAAAACTAATTCGTAATTGTTATTGTGCACATTTTTTCAAAACTTTGAAAAAGCGTCTGCACCTCAAAAAATGGAAATCAATACTAATCCAATAGAAATCCATTTCCGATTGATTTTCTTATGCGTATGTTCTTCCTACTAGCCCTCATCGCGAGCAATTTCGGTATTCGATGATGCCGATACCCATGTTATTGAGAATCTTGAAGATCTTCAAAGCAACACGTCCACAAAAGATGCTAATTCCGATAAAGAAGTCTCCAATGAATTCCAGACTGGATTCCCAATTCTGCCAGGATTTAATGATCAAATGACTGAGGCTCCCCATCCAGAAAATACGAATAAAAATGACATTGCGGTATCGGAGGAAAATACAAAACCAAATGTAAACCCAGATGTCAATCGAGTACCTGTCCAGGAAAGCCAAAATCCTCAGATTAACAACACCGCTAACAGTGAAGATGATGAAGATGGCGAGGACTTCGACTTCGACTTCGATTGGGGAGGGTCTGAAGACGAACCGCAGGTAATTAATCAACGAGAAAATAGCGTATTTCGATACAACTTTTCCAGATCACATGATCCGACTCATGCACGGACAGAAATTTTTGATAAAAATTATCCTACCGTTCTATAAAAGTGTATCATGAGTCATCGTTTCCTCATTTCTATCCCAAAATTTAGTAAAAATTGATATATGATGATCAAATTTTATTCTACGTTAGAGGACTTTTATCCTGACGCATAATAAATTTTACCTTTCCAGTCTAATAATTCTTATGTAGATACCAACGAAAATTCTAGAACGGTTGGTAAATTTTACCCTAGGGGTACAGCAATTTTTACTCTACCGGCACGTTAATTTTTATTTTCATCAGGATAAAATTTCTCTAACGTAGAATAAAATTTGATCATCATATATTAATTTTTACTAACTTGCGGGATAGAAATGAGGAAACGAGGACTTATACACTTTTATAGAACGGTAGGATAATTTTTATCAATCACTTTTTACTGGATGTTCCGTACTTTTTACCGTGACTTTATTTTGACGCTCGATATTAACCCCCTAAGGTGAATTTCAATATCCCCCACTCTACGGCCGTCTTAGCGGAATGCCAGCATCCCCACTCGAGCGCCCTACTAGAGGAGGGTGTGCCTGTACCGCTCAGCGGGTAATACCACTCCCCCGATTTTCTCCGCAACCATCAACTTAAAAATTTCTTTCTGTTGAGCCCAGGTTAGGTTGCGGCTCGAGCGATACACGCAAAACCCTGTGAGCGGCATTGGAATCGTGCCGAGCGGTATTACCCGATGGCGGGTAGTACCGCTCAATAGGCTCTCTCTTTTATTTTCAATCAATTTTGTGGATTCTAGGGAGAATTAGGCGTCTACACTTCGAGAATAACGAGTTCAATAGTTAAAGAAGTCTCACAAATACGTTTTTTATACTCAAGTTGAAATATAAAATATACAACTGGCATTTCCCCTTAGGTGGGCGGTACAGGCACACCCTCCCCTACGCTTTACTACGCTTTTCACCTTAGAGGGTTAAGGAAATCCCGTAGAATTGTTCATTCATAGATCTAATCCCCTCGAATAGGAACAAGGTCCAGTCTCAGGCATCCTCAATGAAATCGCAGACGTTGTCGAGCAATACATCCAGTCAGCGGTCAAAGTTGGGGAAGACATTTTTGGGTCTGAGAAGGATGATAATAATGGAGATAGTGATTATACTTTGCTCTGAAGTAATGGATTTCTCATCATGCCGTGTGTCAAGTGACATTCTTCACGCATCGTGATGTATGAGGTGGTTTTTCTCATCTCCCACACATTAAAAACCACTTTTCCACACTCGTATCGAAATGTACTATATTACACGTGTAAACCTATATTTCTACATTTGTTAATGAAAATAAAGATGTTTGTATGAAGAAGATTCAGAAATGAGGAGTTTTACTTATTTATCAGGAAATTTTAAGACTTCCAAGGATTGCTGGCGCATCATAAAATGAAAACTTAATTAATTTTCAAATTAAAGAAATGTTGATTTTTTTCTAAGACAGTGAGAGTCCCATTTTGAAAAAAAAATCGAATAAGTGTAAGTTTTTATGGAAGTATGCCGCCATTTATTATTAATCATGATATTTTTGAGAATCATAACAGATTTCATTCGTTATGTTCATGGTTTTCTCTGACTTAATAAATAATGCAAATTGTATTTTCGTTTAATTATGCTCAATTTCTTCGCTTTTGTTTTCCGCATGTTTTTTAGTAGTGTTAAAAAACTAGTTTTCGGGTAATTGTTTGTAGTTTTTGAAACTCTTTCAATTGAAAAATAACTTCCAGAGGATGGAACTTCAAGTGACATGTGAATCCTTAAAGTAGTATAAACAAATTGAAACAAACAAAAATATTCTGGTTGAGTTCGTGCTCAATTGGCAGTCTAGTATTATTGATAAGTATCAATAATTAATTATCAACTTTTAAACAAATAATAATTCTGTGTAAAATGTGATTTAAATGATGCTGAACACAGGGAGAAATTTTCTAGAAAAATTCTAGTATGAGTACTGGAAAAAATCACAATCCACCGGATGTGAAAAATTCTGGTGCTGTTAAGGTCAAATTTCTTGGTATTTCTGGTAAAATTTCTGAGGATTTCTGTGAAATTTTCACAGAAATACGAGGAAAATTCACGTTTTCCTCAATAAAATTTCTAGTGCCGGCATTGGAATTTTTTCCTGGCCGTCACTTTGCGCCTCTTTTCCCGTGCTAGCACTAGAATTTTTCTAAAAAATTTCTCTCCGTGACTATTCATGATGTTTTTTAAAATTTTTCTCACGCAATTTAATTGACAAATTTTACCACTGAAAACATTTAAAACTATAGTGTGGTGTGTACCGAAGTGTAAACAATACTTGGATGCCCTTAAGGATGTTTACCCAGTGTCGGTAAATTGCCGGTAAACGTATTTTTTTCATGGCCAAGGAAAATGCAATTTTTTCGGCTGACAGCAGGACATATAAAGCTAACTTTTCTAACGTAAAAAAAAAATCGCAATACTCTCGGCAGAAATGAATGAACTAATTTTTCCTTTTACACGGACTCTTGTGAAATTTATGTTCAAATCGATAATTCACCTACTAGAAGACTCTAAAAATAGAAATAAAAATAGAAGGTAATGTGTAAAATCATATTGAATCCAATGGCCAGAGAAAAATCTGGGGTACCCGGACAAAGAGGAAATATTTGAATGATTCTATCCCATATAAGCGCATGTTAGCGCATGCATTTGGTGCATTTTATCTATTTAATTTCTAAATAATGAACATGGGTTGGTGGATTGAAATTTTTATCAAAGTGAGGAGAATATCTCCATCTCTCAGTTTTAAAAAAATCTATTTTTTTCAAGTACATGCGATTTTGGATAAACTTCCTTAAAAATTCGTTCGAACCGTGAAGATGCGGCGCGTTCGCTCGTGGCGCCAGTTGTACGAATGAAGTAGTGAAGTTTCGAGTTGTTTTCGTTGGACAGTGTCAAAAGTGTCAGAAGTAATAAGAGCATAACGTGAGGGTAATGAGGCTGAGGAGTTCAGCATAAAAATCCGAGGAGACTTCGATGCAGATAACTCGGGGTCAATGCCCATTTCAATGTAAATACGCAAATACAACATTAGGAGGTACGAAAAGCCACGATTACTCAGGTTATGTTGAAATAATATTTTTTTTTTCAAAGTGACACTAATTCGAGGCCTCGTGATAATGGACATATGGTCGTGATAAGTCTAGTAAATCCATGATAAATCCTCACATTCAATTAAGATGAAGTCTGCTTTGTGCGCTGTGTGGATATGGTGATACTATTATCTGTCAAATAACAGAGGTCCGACGCGAGCCAATGTCCATCGGGTAAAATATTCCCTCATTTTTATTTTCTTCCTCTTGATTTCATTTATTCCTCAATTTTGGGATTTTTATGCGCTTTTGATGTGGATAAAATCTGTGGATTTATGAGCCGTAAACATGAGCATTTTGAGAAAAAGGTGAGTGATTTTCCATTGATTGTTTTATTGAATCGTCAAGTGTGAATGACGTTTAATTGACATCCCATTGACAGATTGATTGAGTTCGAGGAAGCACTGAATGAGGAGGAAATTGATATCTCCCATCTCAAACGAATATGTTTTCACGGTATTTATTGAAGAACTATTCTCCTTTTTTTATTAGGTAGACGCGTATTTACAAAATAGTTAGAAAACTTATTGCGTTTGCTGGAAAATCGAGTTCACATTAAGTTTGAAGTGAAAATGCAAATTTTTTATTTCGACATTTCTGTCTCCTAATTTATTCTCTTACGATTTTTTCAATGAGAGAGCCGTTCAGCATTTCCCAGTTTTTATTCTTGGATTTTGTTATGAGAAATGAAAAAAAATAGATTAAAAAATTCAATATGAATGGCAAATGAAATGAAAATATCTATTGAATTTTGCCAGAATGGGAATAATTTTTTTTCTATTGTTTTCGATATCTCTCTAACGTCTTTTGTAATCTTGTTAAAATTCTATTAGAAATTTCATTTGTTTTTTTTTTTGATTTCTCCAAAAAATTCTATCGTTGACCTCGCGAGTTTTTAAAGATAAATTTGGTGGAAACACTTGATAAATTTCCATTTTTATACACAACTTATTCTGTTACGACTTTTTCTATGAGCGAATTCTTGAGAATGGATTTTCCCATTTTTTTCTCGGATTTTGTCATGAAAAATGAAAAAAAAAAAAAAATTTTAGAGGATCGTTACAGAATAAATCATGAATGGCAAATAAAATGAAGCCATCTATTGAGTTTTTACCGTCAAATATGAAACCAAAAGAATATCAATGGAATTTCCACGTGAATTCCAATACCAATTCGATAGAATTCTCTAGCGAACGCTAATTCTATCGAATTTGTCCATACACTCATGCGAACTAATCTCCGTCAATTAAAAAAATCATGCATGTTCTCTGCTCGCTAAATTTTTCTATAAATTATTCTCCGAATCAGTTATCACCGAACTCCCCCCACAAAATTTCAGGAATTCCTGACGAAGGAGGCTTGAGATCTCTCTGTTGGAAATTATTACTCAACTACCTCCCATTAACAAAATCAGATTGGGAAGAAACACTCAAGCGGAAGCGAGATTTATACAACACTTTTATAGGTGAAATAGTGCATTCTCTCTGAATATCATCTCGTCTCATTTTCATGAATGAAACTTGCCCCTTTTCAGCTGATTTAATCGTAATGCCAGGTGAGAAAACTCACGATGGCGAAAGAGTGGACGTAACTCTTCACGATCACCCCCTGAACTCGAGTCCTGGCAGTAAATGGCAGACGTTCTTCAAAGATAACGAAGTTTTGCTGCAGATTGATAAAGACGTTAGGAGACTGTGCCCCGACATATCGTTCTTCCAACAGGGCACGGATTATCCTTGTCAGGCTATTGTTGATGCGAATGGGCCAAAACGCTTGCATTGCAGAGTGCAACATACTGTACTGAGAAGTGCTAACGTTGAGAGAAAAGGTTTAGGTGTGACAAAGGTAACGTGTTTTCCTCATTCATGTTATGTTCTTCTATACTAAGATGAAACGAACGGTTGTACCTCTATTTATTATGGGACAATTTATTACACCAACTTATTACGGAGCAATTTCTTATGGAACAATTCATTATGGAACAATTTATCAACGGCACGATTCATTTCAATAGCATTTGATCGCAGCTCATTCATTACAAAACCCGTAGAAAAGAAAACAAATAGAAGTTTCATTAATCAAAATTCAAGACAAATTCAGTCCCAAATCTCATACTCACAAGTACAATAAAGTAAACAAACAATCACAAAATAACTAGAATTTAAAGCCAAACAGATCCTTCTGTAAACAAGGTACAATTTCAAGACTTAACATTGTGGGCTACCCCACGCAAATAATCAAGAATGTCACGATCCTCATTTCAGTCGATCATTGCAGCGAAAAGACGAGCATCATAATCCACGTATTTTTTTTCTTTTTTGTCGTATTACTAATCGACCAGAATCGAAATGTAGAAATTCAAATGACATGGGAATGACAGCATCCTTAGAACAGACAACTAACATACATATGTAGCGATTCACCTGTTTATTATATAATAAATAATGCTGTAATGAATTGTCCGAGTAACAAATAATACTGTAATAAATTGTCCCGGTAATAAATAGTATTGTAATAAATTGTCCCTGTGAAACACATGTTGACATTCAGAAGTGAAATCATATTTGCCTATTACTTCACAAAATTAAAACACTAATCAACTTTCGTTCACAACCATTGCTGTGGAAAGCAGCAGGTAGAGTATGCACCACTGAATTCCCCCAATAATTTCTAAAATGTGAATACAATGGTCTTAGTTCCACATCAGTTGTTGAAATTGCTTGTAGATCGCAGTATCTGTTCGGAAAGCCCCGGAAGATTATGCCCCATTGACCGAGGGTGGTGAGGCCCACTGGGAAGTGCTAGAGAGAATTCTGTTCCTCTACGCGAAATTGAACCCGGGCCAGGGATACGTACAGGGTATGAACGAAATTGTGGGACCCATTTATCACGCATTCGCATGTGACCCGGATGCCAAGTGGCGTGGTGAGTTCATTCCCTCTAATCTACCCTTACTGAACGCTTATTCAGAATGTTAATTGTTCTCTGGAATTCAGAGTGGGCTGAGGCTGACACTTTTTTCTGCTTTACCAATCTCATGGCAGAGATCAGAGATTTCTTCATCAAGTCTCTGGACGAGGCTGAGTTTGGGATTAATGCCATGATGATTAAACTCAGTCAACAGGTCAAGGCCAATGATCATGAGGTGTGGATGAGACTGCAACAGCAAGATCTTTGTCCACAATATTACAGTTTCAGGTAAATTTGATAACTGAAATTTTCTTAGGTAATTCAATGGTAACACCTCTATTGAACACAGTTTTGTGGTGTTACTGGCCAATTCATCACTAAAAATAGGGAACTTGCATAATTTTTTCTCTTGCAAAATCCTATATCATCCCCTGGACTATTTACTCGGTCAAACCTTAGATGTTCTTAAGGTATAAATTTTAAATGGAAAGCAGGATGCTATGTCATCTTTCAACTTTCATGAATGTCATCAATTGAAATTTCGATTTATCCTTCGATTTATCCCCTTCGATTTATCCTAAATTGTTTCTTAATTAAACACAACCATATGAATGGAGAAAGAACAAACATTTTGCATGTATTGCTATACAATTGCGATTCCGCAAATAAAATCTTTGTGTAAAATCTCAATTTAAGTTATTTGATACTGCATTTTAAACAAAATGCAGCAGTTTCCATATTCAAAATAATACTTTGATCGATTGAGTATTCTTCTTCATCTATGAAATTCTGATAATACCAACAGATGGCTGACACTGCTACTCTCTCAAGAATTCCCATTGCCTGACGTTATGAGAATCTGGGATTCCCTCTTTGCCGACGAGAAGAGATTCAGCTTTTTAATACACATTTGTTGTGCTATGATACTGTGAGTAAAAATAATTTCTTCAAATATTGAAACAAGCGTCTTAATAATTTTTACTTTCTTCGTAGATTACTCAGAGATCAGTTGTTGGATAATGATTTTGCTACCAATGTCAAACTTTTACAGGTAATGACCAGTATTTAATTATAATTCATCTCTCTGAAGTTAATGAGCGTTCTTCTTATTTACAGAACTTTCCGTCGATGGATATTCAGATCGTACTGTCCAAAGCAGCTACTCTGGCGGGGAAAACATTGGATACTCCTTAATTATGCTCTCAAGATTTATCAAATATACATATATTTTTTTTCCACCTGAATACCATATTTTTTGTATATAACTTGGAACGATTAATCTCGAAGATATATTCGTACCATATGATACTTTCTAACTGAGATACAATTTCTTCCAATTGACTGAAGAATAGTGTGTGCGAAAAAAATTAATAGCAAAACTTACAGAATTCTGCAGACAATTTCATTGGATTTGGAACTGTTCAATGGAGAGAGTATTCTATAGAAAAAATCAATGGAATCAGCTATTTCTATACAACTTATTCTTTTCAGATATTTTCTACACAAAATCCTCTGCTCCAATTTTCTAAGTTTTTGTTTAATGTCTTTACTGAAAAGAGAAGCAAATTAGAGTGAAAAAACTTGAGAAATTAATATCGAGGAATTCCAGCAGAAAATGTCGCAATAGAAAAAGTTGTGTAGAAAGATGAAATTTTACTGATTTTCTGTCAAATAGTTTCTATAAATCTAGGAAAATTGCGGAATTCTTCTGTAGAATCGACGAAGAACTAACAAAAATCCAATGGAACTTTCAATCGCATTCGCCACGTTTTTCCATGAAATTTTTTCGTTCTTGATTTGTCATATTTTTTATTCAAATTCACTTCAACGGGTGAACACATCGTATTGCTTTTATGTTTGAACCGATTCCCTTCATTCATCATTGTTCAAGAATTTCAGAATTACAAGAACGAATCAATTGTTTTTTCTATAATAAAGAAACCATGCTCAAGCCGAATTTAAGAGACGATAAGTTAACTCTGCAAAAATTTGAAGTGATCTTATTCATATCATCGGAGACTAGAGCAAAGTAGTAGCGATCATAACAATCGAAACATGATTGCACGTATTGTGATCTAAACCAAAACACGTCCGAATTGAAAAGTACGAAGACGGTGAAATTATTGCATGGGCAATCCTCGCGATGTCCTCATTCGTCATTTCAGTTTTACTCAATTTTACACGTAATTTTAGGAGTAGAAGTTATCACTTTCCTACAGAGTATCGGTTACAATGAATGCTAGGTATATTGATGAGTCGTATGTGATGAACAGTTTTATTTTTGGAACGCTCTAGCGTTATTTACTCCTTTACTTATGTTTATCGTGAAATTAAAAACATTGTTTGAAAATATAAGTCATTTTTTTCAGTATTTATTCCATCCAATTCCTTAATATTCCCTTAATATTAATAGGTAGGAATGTAATTCATCATCAGTCTCGTGTTGTAATATGAAACGAAGGAAGTGTGCCACGGTTTTCAATAAAACCGAAATCACACTAAACTTAATAGTTCATAGTCAACTGAATTCCGTTTGAGTTCAGTTTTGAATTCATTCTTTGTATCGAAGTAAATCGTTACTCTTTAGTTGGAAATAAATACAGCATCTTAAATTGCTGGAATTGAGTCCATATTACTCGACCATTCTACCGCTTTATTTTTCGCAATAAAAAAGCGTATGAAGAAATCGAATGCGTTTAAAACCTCAAATAAAAATTTATTGAAGTTCTATATTTTTTGCTGATTTCTGTAGGAAATTATGTAATTTTCCCGTGCCATTTTAGGGATTTTTCCCGTAAAAATTATTTAGTGGCCATTTTTTAAATTTCGAAACTCCTTTTCTCCGATTTTTAGTGATGCATCACTACCGATTTTGTATTGAGAAAAAAAATGCCGTGGACAGAAGTTGAAAAATATCCACCTAAAGTTTTTCAATATGAAAAAATAAAATTCATTGCATTTTCCCATAGATCGGTATCAACCATTACTTTAGTGATATCATGAAAAATTCCACCTTACGACAATAATTAAGTTTCACCTTAATTAATAATTAAGTTTTTACTTATCTTCATTGAAATTTGAAAAATAATATAATAATTGCTAATTTAAATTTCTCAATTATTGGTTGATGAAATTCGGAATTTGAATATTTAAATTGGTGGTTAATTTAATAATCAAAAAACCGGTGAGTAATATTAACAATTGACTTATTCAAAATTCAACTCTAATTAAAAATTACGGTTATGTCGATGTCTGGATTTTCCCAGCAATTGTCTGCTGGAAACCACTAACTCTTCTATTAAATTTTTCAATTATTTTTCTTCAACAGAAGTGAAAAACCCCGCGTAGTTTTTCACTTCTGTTGATGCAACAATGTGTCATAAGCATAGCGAGTCGAATCCCCGGTCATGCGCCGTCGTATATCTGCAAACTTGCAGAATGGCCAAAAAAAAGAATTCGGTGGACCCAACCCTTGGCGAATCAAACAGGCATAAAAATCGTCCAGAACGCTCTCAAAAATGTTTAATCGGCGTAGGTGGACATTTATAGCGGTTGATTGCTTGATTTACGATTCTCGGAGATTCGAGCATCCGTTCTTGCAACTTGGTAAGCTCTCTGAATTTATTTATTTTCCTCGGTCAATGAAAAGGGATGCGACAACCCCTGAGGCGATCAAAATTTTATGAGAGGCAGAATAGGTTGTCGACAAAAACTAGGCGACACGGCGTCTACTGAACACGCCCTCGTCATTAAAGCAATCATCCAGGAGTCTTAAAATTTGCACACTTTCTGATGACGGTATTGCAATTTTTTTCGTCAATCCTTCGTTTATCCTTTTTTCTGGGTAATCAGGGATGGTAAGAGGCTTTATGACGTACCTTCGTTAGGTTTCATATGATATAGAATCATTGGAAAAAAATTACAATAAAAACAAGATGAATGTTAACGATCCTGAAGATCCTCCATTTTTTGCATCATCCGAGCTGTTTTGATTTACTGAATGAATCTTCTAACATCGTCCGTATCGGAGGAGCAGCGGTCTCTCGCATTTCGCCATATGACCGCACTCTTGTCTCTTCTTGGGTTGCCGATCGAGAAAATCTTTTTATGTCGTTCGGCAGGAAAAAACCGCGATTCTAACCTCGCTTCGCTCGGTTAGATCGCGGTTTTCAGGCCCAACGACATAAAATATCGTATGCCACACGGCGATAAAAGCATTATCTGGCGAATGTGGCATTATAATCCGAGCCAAAGGCGACAATACTTTTATCGCCTGGTGACATAATATACTATTTCATCACTTGTTTTACGCACTCGTATCGAAATATACTAATTTTTTTATACCGTCCTGAAGAGTTCACTTTTCAGAACGGTTTAGGGTGCGTAAAGCTTCGCATTGCGCACGACTTCGAACTTTACGCAGTCCATGCATGAAAAAACTTATAACTTAACTTACAACTTGAACTTATAAATTAAGCTTATAAATTCGCAGTAGATAAATAAATGTAAAAGGTACACTGAGAGAAAAACACATTGTCAAACAAGTCTTGTTTGGGCCAACAAAATCGCTGGTTGAAAATTGCCAAAAAAGAATTTGTTTGGTTCGAATTTGAAAGTCTCAAACATGAAGAATTGTTCTGCTTTCGACAGCAACGAAATATTTGGCTCAAGAGGCGGATAATTCATACCAGACGGTGCCTTTTCAGGATGAAAATATCTCATATAGAGGAAAATTTATCAACAAATATTTTATCCCTAAGTTACAAGATTGCTATCATATCATTATTATTGTTTCATTTAAGGGTTCATTTCTTGTCTGTGATTATTAGACAGTCGAAACGAAAAACTACTATCCCTTGTTCCGCATAAAACAAAGATTTTTCGGGAGCAAAATACGTACGGGAGTATCGAATAACGAAGGAGTAGTGCTAGAAATGACATTTCTTGCGTGTACAGAGAATGCAATTTTTATTGATCTACTAAATCTATTTTTGCGACAAAATTTTTCATCCCGGCGCACTCTCTGCATGTTCGGCACAAAAAATCCTTTTTTGATAATTTTCAAAATAGTTATTTTCATCACAAGGTCCACAAAGTATTTTCTGACGAATGTGATTATAGAGCCACATTACAAAGCCACATTCGTCAGAAAATACTTTTGGACCGTGTGATGAATGCAATTTTTCGTCAGAAGGCCCGTAAACCGCGATCAAAGCGAGCGAAGCGAGGTTAGAATTGCGGTTTACCGGGTCTTCTCACGAAAAACTATTTTCTTGGCACAAGTAAGACTTGTTTGAGAACTTTGTCGTTTTTCTCTCTACTTGGATATCCTTAAGGGGAGACGGAACCCCTTTGTCTACATCAAATCATAGAATTGTGTTTCCTCCTACAATTATTAATTTCTATCTATAAAATTACTTTATCGACTCGATTATCGCATTGTTAAGTCAATGGAAAACTTAATGAATAAAAAATAATAATTGCAGGAGAAAACACAATTCTGAAGATTCATATAAACGCAGGGGTTCCGTTTCCCCTTAAATCCTCTAAAAACGAGGTGATCACGGATTAATCGTTACGTACGAAAAATATGTTGAGAAAATGAAATGAATATTGAGCCATCCTCAACCCCATTCACACCACACTCACATCACACGTGCTAATGTATTGACCAAAGGGTTGTGCGTCGAAAGTAAATTAGTAGTACGAGTATTCCACGAGGCCCCAGGGATCTCGAATACTTGAATAAAACCATAAAGGTGAAATTTGAATGCATATCGCATTTCAACGAGCCGCACATTACTAAATGAAATTCCCTCCGCAGACGTAGGTATAATGTCAAAGGCAGCTATAGGGATTGAATTTGAATTGATCAACAGAAAATTGAGGTCCCCTTTTTCCCTGCAGCTCGGCATTTTGAGTGATCGGTGGTTAATGTACATTTCTCACTCGAGAAGAGGTATCAAGTATTGGGTGAAAAATGTCATCGTTCTATCAGACAAATGTTTTCAACAATCAAAACTGACCTTATGAACCGGTGTAATAACGCAGCACATTCGTTTCTCCGTTATACGACTCTCGTGTGTGTAGGTGAAATTGACGAATGTGCCAAGATCACGCAGTGGTGACTGGCACAATTGGCCACGTACGGGTCTTCCCAGATTCGATCTCAGCGGTGGTCTTCACGGTGTTTCTCTGACTGGTGGAAGACGAAACCATTTTTGAACGAGTAGATATTGATGAATGATTCAAATTCAAAGAACGCGCTTCTCAGGTATTTTATGAATTTTTTAATGCATGTAGAAAGTGATAGATTCGAGGCTGACCTAATAGGGTCAATGCGTCATCACCAGCAATTCTGGGGGAGAGGACGTTGAGGAATCTGCTATTTATCGTCGTAGTGAGCTTTAGGTTGAAGGTTAGAGGAATTTCTTCAGTGCAAAAATCAATGCAAATTGTTAATTTCAGGTTAATTATTCCATGAAGATTAATAAGGTTGTAATCCTGAAATTGATGTTACAAAAAGACTTATCTAAATAACATAAACGCTTGAATTGTAGATAGTGTTAAAAAAATTTGGCGCAATTTCCCGGAAAAAGACCTTGAACTCGATTTAAAGAAATCCATTACAGACTGAACCATTTTCAATCATCAAATTTGTCAATTAAATTGCGTGAGAAAGATTTGAAAAAAATCATGAATATTCAGCGTCATTCAAATTGATAGGCGGAAAAAATAGACCAGGAAAAAATAGCTCACACACCCAAAACGTGCCAAAACCCACCCAACTAAAAAATTTCCCTTGGTCTGTTTTTTCTTTCCCTTGGTTTCTTTTTTCCATGGTCTATTTTTTCCGGGATTCATTCAAATTACGGTTTGTACTGAATTATTATTTTGTTAAACATTTGTTGTTTATAAATAATTTATCGAAAATGCTCGTATTTTTGAAAAATTGCAATTATCAGATTTTTTTTTTATATTATTTTTTTTAACTTTCTATTTTTGTTTTTCAGATTTTTAAAATGTTTTCTAACAGTTCAATATCGAGATGTAAATTCAGCCCGACAAAGTTTAAATAATAAAATCATTGCCAAATTTCCGAAAACTTCGGATCAAATGGGGCTAGAATGAGAGTACTTGGATATCCTAAAAGGGAAAAGTCTATAGAATTTAAAAATTCTGCGAATATTCAAGGGAAGTCCCATTTTTTTAGAGGCAAAAAACGGAACTTTCATAATTTACATGAATTTTCAAGTGAAAATGAATATTCACTGCTAAATTCCCGTGAAAATTCAGAGAAGTCTTCATTCGAAAAAAATTCAGGGAAAGATTTCTCAGAATTTTCCTGGTTTTTC